GTTATGTTTCAGCAAAATGCTAGCTACCATGACATCATGTTTTTGGAAGTCAAACAACATTCATGAAATACAACACTAATCACCATCATCATTTAAAACGAGAAATTTCCAAATGACCAAAGAGCTAAATTAAGTGTTCTCATGATGCCGTTATTTAATCCTCACTAGCAGTGCTGCTGGCAGCAATACCATGTCCCGAGTAATTACTAAATCTAAAACTAATATTGTACCGGGAAAGACAGGGACGTGGCGCGTGCGGGCTGTTTGTTTTTTAATGTTTGCTTTGGCACAAGGCGTACTGACTCATCCTGACACCTGAATTATCTTCAGTTTTAATGAGAACCGCTCCTACTTTACGAGTTCTGTTGATGATCTGTGACTAATTATTAGTGATGAACGATCCTGTCTAACAGTTGCTATGTTTAAAACTTTAACTGTCAATATTTAAAAATGTTTTCCCAAATTCGGTATCGGTATGTCATTGACTATTGTTAAATGCAAAAAAAGCATTTTTGTAAAATTTTATTTACTTATATGTTCCATACGAAATTAGTTTGATTGGCAGTCCTATATTAATTCTGTCGGACTATCTACTGCATCATCATGAGAATGATGATTCTCGGTGTGTTTATTTAAGTTTAGTTGAAAAAGTTTTGTAGTGGCTGTAACATGTTCATAATTATGCACATAGATATGCGTGGCGCGGTTTTATTAGCTAAACAAAGGCGCGGCCTTGGGGTCTAGCCTCTAACCTAGACGCGCGTAGGTGCACCGTCACGTCACGAACATTTACAAACACATTTCAGGCAAACTTTTGTAAGTACCCGCTGTGTTAGCAAGCAGTAACAATTACCAAGTCATGTTTTACCTAACGCACAATGTTTGCATCATGATTTTAGATGCTAGCTTCCTTTCTAAATACACTAAGTTTATGTAATTTTTCCTATCCTACTAATATTATAAATGCGAAATCAAAAATTATATTAATATTGGTCTAAGACCCCGCATACTAGGATTTTGTGAGAGAAGTCTTATTTGTTGAATGAAATAGAGAGCAACATTTTAGTTTGATTTTCCAAACATTCTTTTAAGTTTTTCTAGGATTTCCGAAGACTAACATGTTAATATGACATGATGGGCCATCTGTGAACCTGTTCAATCGTGTTTTGACATCCTATCGGCTGGGCTGCCGTGACTCTATGAGTCATTAACATGTATATTGTGATAACGTCTCAGCAGCTATTGAGTACATGCCTACTGCACCAGACACGTGTTGCTGATATTGAGTCACACGCGACGCCTATAAAGGTTCTAGGAACTGAATTGTTGTTTTTTCTCCTGTCTGGCAATCGATAAGTGACGAAAAGCAATACGGAATTCCTGCAATAGACGCCAAAGCAACATAAGACATTATTTTGCTTTTAATATGGCTTAAGTATTCGGTTTCCAGAATAGATATTCTTCTCAAAAAAAGGAATTCACACGTCGTCGTAACTCGCTACCTCTCTATCGTAATGTCTACTACAGAAACAGTTTCATAATAAAACGTCGTGACTGTTAACCAGAGTTTTATTGGATCAAGGGAATGGTTATAGTGCCCTCAAAACTAAACTTAACCTTGGACATTTGTTTATACCCAACTATTTGGCAATGGCGACAAGGGGCCGATATCATGTCATGATGTCGTGCGTGAGTCAGCTTTTCGGAATAAGGGAAATGCTTCTCCTGCTATCGGAATGCCCGCCAAAGTAATGAAATGTTGGAATGTTGGCAGCTCTGCCAAGATGACAGTGAAACCCTCTTGAGGGAACGAGATTCCTATGAATACAAAGTCAAACTACAAAACTTTCTGTAGTGGGATAGAAAACAAAACATATCACCTAAGCATCTATTATCATGGCAACTATCGAAAGACGTCTTGCCTTAAGCTCCCTTTTCTGGTAAGCCTACTACATATTTGTACAGAAAGTATTGGTCACAACATAAATCATGAAGTAGGTACGACTATCATCATGACACCAAATCATCAAACATTTGAAATGAATAAGTAATGATGAGATACAAGAGGTTACCTAGACCTACCATTATTGTTAGCGCAGCAATTTATCTATTACCTATTTCTGACGGCGCACATTGAGCTTGTATTGATTGGTGGTATTCGACCAAATTACGTCTTTACCGGTACTTCCGCTTCCAGTTTCCTCGAATAGAGTCCAGTCACCTGCTTGGAACGTAAAAACACGGCTAACGAACTGTCCACTTCGATATGAAGCCAAATTTTCTACATCCGTAAGATTCTTCATCAATGATGTAGGAACATTTTCTATTTCAAAACTGGCATCACAAATACAACTCATTCTTTTTTGAGTTCTCGGAAAAACTGTAAAAATGTTCGGAATTTTAATTTAGTTTTTATCTCTTGGCGAATTATTTGTATTAATGCGCACTCGTAATTCATAAGATACAAGATATGCCTCGACTCGGCTGTGGTCCAAATTCTAGTATTAATAGAAATGCCGTAAAGTGTGGATGTGTTGACAACTTTCATATCATGTTGTTATTTCGATATGAGTTACTATTATATCATTATTAACTTGAGAGACCTCATTAATAAATAATAATAATAATAATATCATTTATTTCAGATAAACAGTATCCATATGGGTTAGTAACAATTTGTGCTTAAACAATAAATGGTTAGTAAAAATATTTCAAACAAAATTAAATTAAAATTAATAAAGCTTTGTTCATTTGAGTTAATAAAGTGCTATTGGGTGAACAGAATTTCTTATTCAGAATGATAAAATAACCCAATTGTTAGTTAAGACCTCAAAGTAGATCGAAAAACATCCGGTTGCCTAAACCACCGTAGCGCCTGACTCACGGGCTTTGTGCCTGTCCTATCACTTTTGATGTCCATTGGCCACTGACCAAAGATTATAATTTATCGTCCATTACCGAACGGAAGCGGGAAAACAAAATATTTTCTCAACGAATCCGATGATCGGGATTTTTTAACGTTTACTCATAACTTGTGTCAACAACTAACGCCTGGCAAGATTATTCCGATTCTTTGGAGATGATGTAACATGTCAAAATTCCTGAAATTGTAAAATTTCCCATTTCAAAAGGTTTGTCAAAGACGCTCAGTTCAATTGTACCAATTGTACCCTCGACCCCTTTAAAATTGTCGTGAATCGTCGATAGGTCTCACCGACAATAATTATGTTAATAATAATTAAGCTCATGAATTAACACATAGTTTAAAATTACAATGTCAAGATCCCAGTCCAGGTGCCAGGTAACCAGTATTTTTACATTTTCAATTAAAGTCGCCGCCTCGAAGTTGCAACCCGGAATTGAACAGTTTTACAATTTCTGGAGGCTATGAGAACGTTTGTGATTGCTTTATAAGACGGTAATTTCACGTGGTCGTGCGAGTTCACGACATAATATCGTATCCACATCATTGCCGATGGCCATGGGGTCATTTGAGTTTTCTGAGAAGTGTCGTGCGTCGAGCGGGACCCAGCACCTAATAGGTTTCTGGGAATGATCTCGGCCCTCGGCCATTCTATTTCAACTCGTTACATCTATGTATATTATGTACAAAGGTACTACTCTTTATTGAGTGTTTACATACATGAACATACAGTTTCGATTCCACAGGAAAGTTTGTGCGTGTAGTTGAGAAATTAATCATGTTTCATTAACATGATATTATAGGACATAACCTAAAATGAGGGCTACATTTGGGCGCCAAAAATGTATAAATTCTTATTAATGTAATCTTAAGTAAAAATTGAACTGTTATCATGTTCTCTATTTGTTTGTATAGTTTGTGATTTATAAAATCACATAATATTATTCCAAAATTAATATGAAAGTTTTGGGCGCCAAATTGTAGCTAATCCTACATTTTCATGACCTGTGTACCTACCATGAGTTTACGTTAGGTGTGCTCGCTAGCGAAAACGTCAAAAATCTCTATAGAGATTTTGTTTCTTGAAAGTAGCCGCTAGGGGCGCTGCACAATATGTCATACAATTAATGTCATTTTTTTACGCAGTCGCTAGCGAGCACACGTAACGTAAACTCATGGTAAGCACACTGATATTATTCCTCAATTCGACAGTCATCATGAGTCGTTTCTTTACAATGGTGGTGATAACACTTCACTTAAAAAAGTCAGTAAGATTGGCCATGGCCAAGGATCGAACGTACGACTTCTCGCACAGCCGACTGCGTTTTATGATAAGAAATATAAAATAAAGGACATCGCATATAACGAGACTGAATGTACTCGTACTTATAATCTTCTTAGTACATTCGGAAAACCTTATCTTAAGACTGAAATATAAGGTGATTTATGCAAAGCACATGGTAACAAACAATGTCTGTGACGCCTTCCGTAATCAAATCATCAAGGTAAAGAAGATATCTTTTTATCAGACGTAAATGATAAAATTGGCGAAAACATTCTTAGCTGTTATCTGACATTTGATAACATGTTTTTGCAGGCGGACTGATAGTAAAACTTATTTGAGATATGAGAAATCATTTTTTTGTTAATCTTTTTGTCTCCTCTAATTTTTTATCTAACATTACTTACCCATGCATGACTCTTCTAGACTTTCCTCAAAATGGCCAAAATTATAATTAAAACAATATCTATCACGTAGTGGATCAGTCCACATGGACCAAACAAGATTCTAATAAGAATCAGGACAGGAAGGTTACTTATAACAATTTGGTGAGAATATCACAATAACTAACATTACTTATTTACAAGTTTTGTAGATACTGCAGCGAAGCCGTCGTCCATACTCCATCGTTCGTTATACTCGTACCTACAAATTATCTAGTCTAGTCTATATAGATAGGGACTTACAAGATGCCACGTAGAAGTTTTTCTGCTCTTCTTTACTACCGCATTTAGTTCTGCTCTTCCTTACTACCGCATTGTCCTGAAAACTGTTTTCTTTTACATTTGCACCTACCTGTTTACGTTTCAAAGGCGCCTGCTGCTTGACTGGAACTGGCGCCGCTGTCGGCGACTCCCGCGCCGCTAACTCGTCCAGCAGGGCCACGCATTTCTCCTTCTCCTTCTCCTCGTCTGCCACCAGCAGGAACCGCCGCCATCGCGACGAGTCGAACCCCCAGTGGCAGGTCCGGTTCTCCGGCTCGTGCGAGTGGCACACAAACCGCCTCGGCGTGTACAATGACCGGCATATCAAACACTGCACTAAGTTCAAATCCGGGGCGCACACACCCCGCCCGCCACCGAAACACTCATGGTACACTCGGAACCCGGGCAGCTTGTGCGGGCTCGACGCCGCCGGGCCGTGCAGCAGCGAGGAGCACAGCCGCTCCGCGTCAGTCTGCGTGATGAGCCCACACGACGGCGCCGAGCGCGGCAGCACCCCCGTCGACTTCAATTCGTGGAGCTGCTCCGGCGTGCATCGCGAACAGTATATTTGCAGTTCGTCGCACACACGGTTGATCTGTTCCAAGCTGAAGTCCGTCAGCACCGAGGTCAGGATCTGGGGCAGGCACAGCCGCCGCTCGCCGCCGACGCTGAAGCACGAGATGGGCTCGCCCTCGAGCAGGGTCTCGCCGCGCTCGCCCAGCACGGTGTCCGGCGCGAGCAGGATCGGCGGCGCGGCGGGCGGCGGCGGCGGCGGAGGCGCCTCGCTACATGGCTCGGCTCGCCCGCATCCGGGCCCTTGCAGGCTGCGCGGCGCGCTCGCCTGGTAGGTCTTCAGCACGGAGTTGATATGGGACGTCACTACATCCATGGTCGCTCACCCCCACCGACTTGGGAGCTCGAGGGGCGCATGTCCCGAGCGAACTACGCGCCGGCACGCGCGACGCGCTCCGGCCGCGATCGAAACATATCTGCCGAACTGCCGAGCCGTCGCGACGGCCGGGCCGAGTGCTCGCCGCCCGTTTGCGGCGTCTCCGCCCCGTCGCCGCACGACCACTTTGCAAAAATACACAAATAAGCCACTTTTTGTCACTGAACCATCACTATTTTTCCCCGAATATTCACTGAGCTGACACTGTTGGATTCCAATTTGTGAACTGCAGCCGTTTTCCAGTTGGAACGAACTGGATACTTGCGAACTGGGTAGTACGTAATAGATACGAGCGGCTGAGGCCGGGGCGTGGATTCCGGCGACTGGTCGCAGTCAAAGCAGCAGACGGATGGCTCGGCTACTGGAGAGTCTAGCCGGCGCCCCGCACCCCGCGCCCGCCGTCGTGTCACGTGACCGACCTTCCCGTCAAAATATCCAGAATGGCGGCGCGAACCGCGGCCCGCCCGTCTCAAACACTAAACACTGCAGAAGTGCCAATTGAATATACCTTCTACCAACATTATCATAATATTACTACAATACAAAAAGAATTTACTTTATAATAATAAATAATTATATAATAAATATGTACGATCATATGAATAGTTTAGAAAATTACAAGAACAGTTGATCCGAATATTATTAAAATATTTTATTAAAACAATCTAAACAGATGTTCTTGATCCCGTTATTCCCATTTAACCAGTTATATTACCTAAAAGTACATCTGATAAACTACATAGTTTATCAGATATTCAGACCACACAAATTGTATTTACCTATTGTTTTTTTTTTTTGTAGTAGGTAGCTAATTAATATTATACGATTCTCACCTAATGTTAATCATAAAATATTAACTATGCAAATTATGGTGCAATCTAGTTATATTTATAACAATTTTCGAAATTAAAATGTAATGTGATTAAAACATAATTATTTTTGCTGGTAAAAATAGATGTATGTAAGTATTGCTGTATAAATTATGGAAGTACACATAATGAAATAGTAAAATTAACCGGCGATAGTATTTTCTTAAATATAAATAAAATTACTTAAGTGAGTTGTCTTCGAGATGCTTAAAATGCGCAGGCAGGAACCCGTGAGACCAGTTTACCATCTGTCCTATTTATCTTTGGCACCGCGACACGCGCGGGGGAGCCGAGACGCGCGGGGAGGGTGCGGGACGCGGGACGGGGCAGCTGCGTCTACTGCGGCCGTTCGCTCGCATGAAAACTGTTTATATCTAACTGGAGCATTTTCATCGCAAATTCAACTGTATGGTTTAGAAATATGGTCGATTTTTAAATGGTAAGCACTTACTTTGTTGTGCAAAGTTATTAGCAGTGAAGTAGAATTCGATCTTACTCGTACAATCGTAAAGTGCGTTTTCTGCCTCTAATATCTACATAACATTTACATAGCACTTAAACATTTTGTTAATTTGCGTAATAATTAAGTAAAACCTGTGGTAAACATACAAACCTACTACTACCTAGGTGTAGGTACGACGATAACTACTAGGTACGATAAAAATACATTATGCCTAATGAGCTTTTAATTAGAATCCTTTCTAAATGTAGGTACCTATTATATCATTAAAATGAAAATGAAAAAATATTGTGTAAAATGTAATAATTATGTTACTTACCTTTTTACAAGTTATTTATTGATATGATGTTACAATGCCAATATTGATAAAATTTTAGTGTTTCACTTCACTCACATGCCACTGTACATATCTGGAAAATAAAAAAACACACACTATCGTGGACGTTATAATATTGTTAAATTACATATAAAAATTGGTTCATCATCATCATCATCTCAGCCAAAGGACGTCCACTGCTGAACATAGGCCTCCCCCAATGCTTTCCATGTTGCCCGGTTGGTAGAGGCCTGCCTAAAAAATGCGGAATAAAAATTGGTTAGCAATAAATAGTTTGGTATTGTCAGAAACTTATCTTCATCATCTTCTGCCTTTTTTTCTTGAAAGTTTAAATAATTTTGGTCTGTTCATCCATTCGTTTCCGGTTTTCTAGTTTCCCGCGCTTTATGTACAACACCACAGATAACTTATCAAGAAGGTAATAAAGTAAATTATCGTTATTCGTTATTTTATAATAACGTTGCGTCTTATTGATTGTCCATGGATTTTTCGGTATGACAAATAAAAACACTATACAAAGCAAAGTCCTTAACAATGTAAACTTTTCCCTTTTGAGGATTCTATGTAGAGCAAATTAAAAAATCTAATAAATAACTGTATGAAATAACTGCAATAAAAACATTAAATAACCAATAACGTTATTTTCACAAATATTGATATAAAAAAAACAAATGTCAACTCAATAGACGACTCACGCACGACTGTCATGTCGGTGCGGCCTTGCTGCTGCTTTTGTCATTTTTTGATTTTGCATTTTTCTTGTGATCAGCGTTTATTCTAATTGTTTTAATTGGCTTTCGGCCTCCAAGCAAGTAGGTAGGCTCCTAAAAAAATATTAAACTTGACAAGTGAGGGTAATTTTCCATGATAGAGACTAAAAAAGTATTTGCGTTTTACAGATTGATGGATCCTTGGGGCTGCGAAGTGGAATCCGCTGTTGTTGAGTCGAAGTTTGAGGACAACTTTACGCCTTCTCAAGGATTCACGAAGCTGTCAGACTCAGCGCAATATCTTGCCGTTTTAGGTAAATAATTATTCAACTTATCAGTGCAATTAGCATTGTGATAGCTGTGTTAAATTACACTGCAACCGCGTAATGTAATATTGGCGACTTTCTATTACCTTGAATTTTAAAACCATTGTGTTATATTCATGGGCTATTGTTTCATTCCAGAAAGGAAACTTCAAGTGGTGCGTTCACAGAACAAAGTGCTGGAAAACCTGTCAGCGTACAGGGAGGATTGTATCAACCGGTTGATGCGAGACGGCTGCGACCTGGACCCTGTGATCGGCGACACCGAAGCTGAGAAACTGTTGCAAGAATAAACATAACCTTTAACCTCTTGTAAGTAGCCATGGCATCCTCATCCTCTAACATTGATTTGTCAGGGCCCACCTACTGCGTCGTCACTGGAGCATCCCAGGGTATCGGTAGAGCATTAGCCGTAGAGGTATCAAAACTTCTTGGGCGTAAGTCAGTTATACTTCTTTTGGCTCGTAACAAAGATGAATTGTCAATTACCGCCGGCCTGTGTAAAGCAGATGGTGTTGAAGTACTGTACGAATCGGTAGACCTCTCGAAGGCGACAAATTCCGAAATGACAGATATTCTCAACAAAGCTTTGAAGGGACGCAAAGTGACAGACTTCGCCACTAGCCTAATTTTCCACAACGTCGGTTCTCTTGGTAATCTAGCTGTGGAAACAAGCCGCATGGAGAATGTTGAGGAGCTGAGAAAGTACTACGACCTGAATGTATTTAACGTAATCTCATTGAATACTCAATTCCTTAAGTTATTTGAGGAGGTAGAAGACCGTGTTATTATTGTGAATATCACATCGCTTTGTGCGATTAAGCCTATGAGTGGTATGGCCTATTACTGCAGCGGGAAGGCAGCGCGTGAGATGTATTTCAGAGTTTTGGCTGAGGAGAAGAAGCATGTTAAGGTGTTAAACTATTCCCCTGGTCCGGTTGAGACAGCTATGATCGATTTTGTCTTGGATGAGGCTGTAAATGATAACTTGAAAGACGTGTTCAACTCATTCAAAAACCAAGGTACTCTTTTAAAACCTGAGGTTACTGCGAAAAAATGTATGAAAGTCCTCCGCGCAGGCAAGTTCGCACCGGGCGAACATGTAGACTACTTTGACGATGAATGAATCTAAATAAAACAAATGATTGCTCTCTAATGTCTATCGAGTAGTTGTAGCTTTCTTACTGTTATAACTGCTTTTTGCCAAATTTTTATGATGTCTATTGTTATGGTATTAATGTAGAATCCATATCCATAGTAATATATTGTTGTTTCCTATTTTTTAATTAGGATTGTGCAATAACTGTCGTAATACTTAAATGTATTTTTTGTTTTTGTTATATCAATAAACTGTATACTTTCTTTATATTTTTGAGGTAATTTTTACCATCTTGATGTATGATTAATGTAACATTGTTATTATAATTTGTATTCATCATAAATACAATTGAATACTTGTTGAGATTAAAAAAACATTAGGTTTTCATGAGCCCTAATTGAAAAATAAGAACATTGTTTTTGCATTCCAATAGTCATTCCATACACATGTTTGTAACTTAAAACTAAACTAAACAATTATAAAATATGTAATTCAGGATGTACCCTACATAAGCTAGGACAGCAGTCAAAATCCATAGTAATTTACTATGTGTATAGGGTCAGGGAGGCAACAGTGACTCACTTTTTTTTCGAAGCTTAATAAAAATAGATATCGCTTTAATATTGGCCTAAAATTTGCTCACATTTTAGATACACTATTGAACTGTAACTGAGCACTCATGATTCTACATTATTTACTACTTATGTCAAAGTAGGAACCTAAAACAAAAAAATGATAATTGAGCCACTGTGGACTACTAGGTGTACACACTGACTCACTACCGTGGTACACAGTATTAACGTGGTACGGCAGTATTTATATGAAAAGAAAATGCCCATTCCGCGTAGTTTTTTATTAGAAATAATAACAAAACTGCACAAGCTATTCTTATTATAATCAACAATTCAACACGACTCTTAGTACTTTTATTGCTACCTATAAGATCTTAAGTCATCTCAATCTCTTCGTTATTTATTTCTTCCCTATTTTTCTGTCGGTTTTTTTCCGTGGCATTCTGTAAATAAAAAACAAAATTCGATTTAAAGTTATAAAATATTGAATTCGTATAAAGTATTAAAATTGAGTCACTGTGTACTTCTACGCCATTTTGTAAATATTTGATCAAAAAAACCAAGATGTAAAACAAATTAGTCAAAATTCGGATTAAAGACAATTGATACAAGACCTACTATCCGATAAATATAACGGCTATTACCTATAGCAACAAACAAAGATATGAAAACAATCGAAACTCACCTTAGAATGTAATTTAGTGGGCGCGAAAACAAAAAACATTCCCTCACCCTTCCGCACGGCACTTGACCGGCGAGCAAACTGGTTTAAATGTGTTCGGGTACCAAGACCTTTGAATCGGTAAAAGAGACAAATATATATTCCTATGCCTTCAGGTCGAAACATGACTGAGCCACTGTAGCCGACCGAGTCACTGTTGCCTCCTTGACCCTACTTATAAAAAAATCCCAGAAATTATTTCTCCTAGCTTACATGGGTACAGCCTATATCATATACTGTTATTCATAATACTTCTATATGAATGCAATTCATATTACTAACAAATTAATAAATGCTTGAAGTAAAATGCCTTTTCAATGTCACCCTGAACCTTTTTTTAATTTAGAAATATGAGTTACATTCATTTTATTGTGACCTTATCTTTATTGACACTAATGACCTCAATCGATAACTCCTTTTTTCTATCATTCATTATTTTCAAATAAGTTAATTACATATCATTGTTAACTCATGTTGTGTAATATGATGAAATAATATTAATTGGTGGTCAAAAAATATTAGGTCACTGAGTTTACTGTCGTCAACTGTCTAGCAATAATACCTACATACATACGATCTACATAATCAATTTTGCCGATTCTGATGATAATTATAAAAAGAACTTATTTTTTTAAATAATATTTGATAACAAAACTTCGTTTTCACGACATATGTGGAGAACAACAACAAAAAATTCACAAGAATGAACACATTATTGTCTACCAGTTTTACATGAACAGACTTGCGTGAGATGGCAAAGAAAGTGTAGCAAATCACCTTTTCGAGAAAACTTACACTACCTAGTACCTACACTGCTTGATTTCTTGAGAAACTACTAAATTTTGTTGAAAAAAAGCGCTTATTACAATGGCAATGATGCTAATGTTTTCTTAAAGTGAGTAGACAATTTATGTTAAACTAAGTGCTATTTACTTTATTGTTCCAAATTATCTTGGGTCAAAAATGTCGAGAGATTACTTGTTCATATAACAGCTGACAATGTAAAGCTGATAATGGAAAACTAATAATAAATGAGGCTGGATGATAATGGAACTACCTACTTACACAATTATCTACTTGAGATTAACCATTATTAATTTATGACACCGACAACCACTGGTTGACTGATAAATAAAAATGCTTTGTGTATTAGATAGGTCCGTTCATTCCCTTTGATTGTAGGTAATATTGCATAGGCAGTAGTGCTCTCTGATAAACTTATCTTTTATACTGAGATCTCCAACCCGCCTGTCAAGCGTGGAGATTATAGCAAAACCCTCGACTAAAGTGGAGGAGGATCATAGTCCAGCACTGGACTGTAAAGGGCTGTTATGATGATGGCATGTAATATTTCCGTCAAATTAGTGCCTACAACCAGGATGTCACTAAAGTATATCCCTTCGCGAAGATTAGTCCAAATGGCCCTGTTCCACAATTTTACATAGTTTTCGATTTATCATATTTTTAAGAACATCCAATTCAAGCGGGTTGAACATCCGCTCCACAAATTCTTGCTCAAATGTGCGTAATTTGAGACGCGCTAAGCATTTGAGTTTCACGACGAAGCAAAATTTAATTCGACTCAGACGTCATTAAGCCACGTTAATACGTGAGTAGGTACTTACTGTAGGTAGTTCTCATAAAATTAGGTATATACCTTCATTCCTAATGAACATCACAAAAACGATTTTTGTAGGATCTTTGACCATCTTCATAAAAGCTGGAGATTAATTCTAGTACTATTTCTCACACACGCCCCTTCCTTCAAAATTAATAAACTTAAATATCAAGTGATTTTAATGTTGGTTTTGGACACGCATGCCAATGCCATGAAACCTTCCTGTGGCGTATAATTTCATGGTAAAGGCGCGAGAAGGTAGTTTGAAATAAAAATTGTAAATAGGGCCAAATTTGCCTTCCAGAGCATCATGACGGCTACTCGTAAAAGCCTGTTCATCTTCCTGATGGGGCTGGCATGGCGCTGCCGGTACAGCATGCCGCTACTGCTCAGCGGTACTGTGGCCATACTGGGCCGCGCTTGGATGTTCCAGATTCGCGTGCAGACTGTGCATCGTTTGCACGAATCCGAGGTGAGTGAGAGTCGATTTTATTCCTATGTCGCACAAGGCGTGAAATTCCATGAGTGATAGTCCAAGAGTCCGAGGAAGATCCACCCGAAATTCAGCTCTATTCTTGTTCAGCGTTCAAACTCTCATGTGCGTGAATGTCTAAAAGTGAAAGCCCATGAGTCCAATGTGAGCCCGCGAGTTCCAGCTGTTTCTATCTAGCACAAGAGGTGAAACTCCACGAGTCTTAGGTCAGCTAGAGATGCTGCTCAGCGGTACTTTGGCCATACTGGGCTGCGCTTGGATGTTCAGATTCGCGTGCAGACTGCATCGCCTGCACGAATCCGAGGTGAGGGATAATCGGCTTTATAGCTATCCAGCGCAAGGTGTGAAAGGCTGCGAGTCTTCGCTGAGAGCGCGCGATATTCAGCTCTATTCCTATCCAGCTAAAGCCATGAAACTGTGTGAAAGTCTAAGAGTCCCCAAGGTCTGAGTGCACGCGAGATCCAGCTCTATTTCTATCTAGCGCAAGAGGTGAAACTCCACGGAGTCCTAGGTAAGTCTGGTGTGGCGCTGCCGGTACAGCATGCCGCTACTGCTCAGTGGTACTGTGGCCATACTGGGCCGCGCTTGGATGTTCCAGATTCGCGTGCAGACTGTGCATCGCCTGCACGAATCCGAGGTGAGTGAGTCGATTTTATTCCTATGTCGCACAAGGCGTGAAATTCCATGAGTGATAGTCCAAGAGTCCGAGGAAGATCCACACGAAATTCAGCTCTATTCTTGTTCAGCGTTCAAACTCTCATGTGCGTGAATGTCTAAAAGTGAAAGCCCATGAGTCCAATGTGAGCCCGCGAGTTCCAGCTGTTTCTATCTAGCACAAGAGGTGAAACTCCACGAGTCTTAGGTCAGCTAGAGATGCTGCTCAGCGGTACTGTGGCCATACTGGGCTACGCTTGGATGTTCCAGATTCGCGTGCAGACTGCATCGTCTGCACGAATCCGAGGTGAGGGATAATCGGCTTTATAGCTATCCAGCGCAAGGTGTGAAAGGCTGCGAGTCTTCGCTGAGAGCGCGCGATATTCAGCTCTATTCCTATCCAGCTCAAGCCATGAAACTGTGGGAAAGCCTAAGAGTTCCCAGGGTCTGAGTGCACGCGAGATCCAGCTCTTATTCCTATCTAGCGCAAGAGGTGAAACTCCACGGAGTCCTAGGTAAGTCTGGTGTGGCCGCCAATACAGCATGCCGCTTCTACTGAGTGGCACTGTGGCCATACTGGGCCGCGCATGGATGTTCCAGATTCGTGTGCAGACTGTGCATCGCCTGCACGAATCCGAGGCGAGAGATAGTCGGCTTTATTCCTATCCAGTTCAAGGGGTAAAACTCCTTGCTGCGAGTCTTTTGTCAGAGCGCGCGAGATTCTTCAACCCTGTTCCTAACCAGCGCAAGTCTTGATGAAACTCTGTGTGTAAGTCCAAGAGTCCCCGAGGTCAATACAAATAGAGCTGGATCTCGCGTGCACTCACGCGAAATCCAGCTCTATTTCTATCCAGGAGTCCGAGGTGAGCGCAAGCGATATTCAACTCTATGCAAAGAGTGAGACTCCATGCTGCTGGCTGCTGAAGTGCTCGAAGAAGAAACGAAGACAGCTCATACGTACAGCCCCCCTAGACAAAACGCACTTTTTGATCGAATCGAAAATCGAATCCGTCAAAACTCCATACAAAAAAGGGGCTTTTCGACCACTTTTCGACTGGTTTGCGATTATAATTTTCACTTTGTCTAGACCCCCAGGCTAGCAACAAAATATAGAGGGTTTTCTTCTATCATAATGTCAGCAAAAAGGTAAGAATAACGAAATTAACTAGACCAAAGTATGGTGGAAGCTAACGTGTCCTTCTTTGTAGAGTCCACATTTGTTGAGATTTAAGGTATTATTTGAGCAGTCCTAATGTGATTCTCATACAACTGGAGTTCATGTGACTCATAGGATACGATACAATTTTAACAACACAATTTGGTTTCCAGTTAGCATACTACGACGACGACGAAATAATGGAGGAGGAAGAGGACTACACCTGGGAGGAGGAGTCCACCGACTCCTGGGAGACCATCGTCGAGGAGGTCGCGTATGGATGACCCCCGCTTATCGTCAGGTCGGGCATACACTTCCGAAGCCACGACCGTGACGTATAAACCAAAAGCAAATTTAAATTTGAACTCTATCACTTTGTGCTGTCCGTCTAATGTAGTTTGTAGTTGTGTGTATGTCGCAGCCGACTGACGAAACTAGCCAGTTGGTTGAATGGCTAGCTCGTTTGTGAAACGCCGCCATTTAATTAAATGTCGTAAAGATTTACCGCGATTGTTGAACGCAATGCTTAACGAGCTGACTTATTGTCGAATTATTAGTCGTTAGTATTTTTTTGTATTACACATTTTAATGAAAAAATATCGTGAAATCTGACCAGTCTAAGTTTTACTTATTTAACTTAATTATTTTTGACTCAAGGCAAACAAATATAAAATTGTTTCGAGTTCCTAAAACCATACATTTTTGAGTTTGATGACTGCTAACCCTTCCTCTGACAAAATTTTAACTAAAAAATTACCCGGCTACTTTGTTCGGCGTTTTCCAAAAGGCTAGTTTTTTATTAGTTAATTCCATAATACATACGTTGTCTGCTGATCGTTCAACAATCGGCCTAAGTACCTTCTTGTTCATCCAACAATCTGCCTAGGCATTCAATTAAATACCGGCATTTAATAAATGAGCTAGCCAGTCGATTAACTGGCTGATTCAACTACTTGGCTGCGACATATTATTATTATATTATTGTTACTCACTCATCGTGAAATTAAAAAACACATCTTTAAGCTATTCGATTACAACTTAAAGTAACTGGAAGTATAAAAACATTACTTAAAATGATATTATTATGACTGTAGTTTAGTCATAATTTTGTTCGGGATTCGACTTTGGTTTAAAAATGTGTTTGCTAGAAAATATGACGTTATAAAAATTTGTCTTGTATAATTAGAATAACTTTAGAAATACTTACCTTTAGTAGTCTAAAATATAACTGTGTGATCATATTAACGTAAATTGATCTCACGTTTCCAAAATATTTGAAAATTTACGAGTAGGATAAATATTTGTTAGTCACTATGACTTTGTAGGTAACCCTTGCATCTATTTTGGTATAATAATATTACTTACGAGTTTATAACCAGTAATTTAAAAAGTAATAATGTAGTATTCATGTACATTATTCTCTTTTTCCTGTACATTATACATTTTAATGTTATTTAGTTTTTTTAAATGATATAAAATACAAAAATATTCGTATAAAATATTACCAACTTAACTTTTAAGTTGTATTCTAAATGGTGAAAGTTTGGTGGAGGAATATTGGTTACTCACGACAAAAAAAAAAGCTAAAAATAACCACTAAAATGCAGATATAAAAATTCCAAGTAAGTGTTTAACCGAACTTCAAATTGAAAAGTTTGTACGTCTGTTAGATGTAGGTGGATAGCATTAATGAAATTTATATGTGACAAAACTTAAACTTCCAGTGGCAATGGTTTGTAAAATCTATAGATATAATTCATATTATGTAATTTAAAATATTTTATAGGACCTACTATTATACTGAAATTCAAGCGTATAGATTTATCTATGATTAACGTAGTGTAGATGGTACGGCTGTCCTTTTGCTCGACTTGGCGAGGGCTCTCCCGTGCCCCCAGATAAATATGTAGTGTAAAACTAGCATCGTAAAAATCTAGATTTTAGTGCGATTAAATAACAAATGTGTAGGAAGTGCTGTCGATTGTAATAACAATTTAAGATAAGTTTAATAAAATTTTAAAATTGGTGATAAATAATTCTTTAAATCTTTGATGTTACATAATGAATTAATGTAGAGATAGTTAAGGTCCAGTTTCAATAGTGATACTTGATTGGTAAATATAACATTGTTTACATTTTTTAAACTGCAATTTATAAAGATCGAACTATACTTATCTACTCACTGTAGCTCCATGATTTATAATAATGACATAGATAATATCTTTGTAAATTAAATAATGTTTCTTGACAATCTGTCGGCGAATTTTGTAGAATTAGGGCCTTTGAATAAGACGGTGGCTCGGCTTGGTTGGACTTTTCAAAAACCCTATTTTGGATTTTAAAAATGTAATATTTCTTCTCGATTCAATTTGGCTCGAAAGTTTTTAACTTAACCGTCAGTATTAGTGTTACCAATATAATAATTACTTACGTGCAAGTAAATTATTTTTAAATTCGACAGTTTATTCCCACATTATTTAAAATTATTTGTTAGTTATATGTTTGAAGGTGAAATGGGCTGTGTGTTTAAATAAGGCATTAATAAAAAGACGTTTGGTAAAATGGAATAATTATTTTATTTTCCTAATTAAATAAATGTATCAAAATTACGTATTTATTTGTAAATTAGTCATTATCACTGTGGTACATGACTGGTTAGGTAAATAACATTATGAGACAATCTTACCAAAGTAAGGTAACGTTTCTACAACATGACAATGCTAACTTTACCTAAGATCTCTTCTATAAGAAACCAAAGTTCTATCTGTGAGTAGGTAATAAGTTATAATTTATTTCTTTCTTTCTGCTTTCTAATATTCTATGAGAGACTTGGCCGCACTCTGAATTGTCATCAACTTAGTGATTATTCATGAAACCTCACACATGCAACAAGATTCAGGGAATGGTGCAAGAAAATGCGTTTTATGTTACATCAATATTTTTCTTGTTTGGTTCCCATTTTAATAATTTACACGCGTGACAGCAATAAAAGCTATGGGCTATTATATTTTTGTAAAAAATATTATGCTATTGGTGATTAGCTAGCCGACGCCAGTCGATTATTTTATCGCTTTTTGTCGCGCTATTTTATGGACTTAAGGAGTGTATTTGCTATAGTACAGATTAATACGTAAAAAGTGCGGCCACAAGATAAGTCTCTTTATATTGTGATTTGAAACCAAGTTTTGTTCCAAATAGTTTCGTGAAACACCGCAATTATGATCAAGGCGATACCTAATGAGATTTTGGCTGACCATTTAAAAATATTTGTAGTAAATACCATTCAGCTGCTCTAAGAAAATGAACGTAAGTACTGTCATTGGTCCGATCTTAAGGTACGTTGGCATGAGGCCGCTCCACAGTGCTAGAACTCCTTCCTTCTGGATGATACTCATCAGGACTTGTACCTGACTTGTTCCCTTTGCCGAGTATTGTACCCTGGAAGAGACAAGTGCACGAATGTGTTTATAAAAGTTTCTCTACATAATCATCATCATTTCAGCCATAAGACGTCCACTGCTGAACATAGGCCTCCCCCAATGACTTCCACCCACATCGCACGGTTGGTAGCGGCCTGCATCCAGCGCCTTCCTGCTATGTTTATCAGGTCGTCGGTCCACTTTGTTCTCTACATCAGTCTTTAGCGTTTCAGGTCTCGTACGCGAAGAGGCCGCTACCAACTGGCCAATCTGGAAATCATTGGGGGAAGCCTATGTTCAGAAGTGGACGTCCTGTAGATGAAATGAAAAGATATCTGACATAACCACCTATATTTGCTATACCCAGCGTCAGAAGCCAGGTACATGGGCGTACCCAGTTTCTGGCCTAGGGGGGCAAGTTATACAGAGCTTCTGGCCTATGGGGGGAGCTGAGGGGTACGGTCATGGCCAGGTAACTAGTAACTGACCCTAGATTTACTCGTTTAAAAATTTTGTGATTGGTGAACTTATAAATCATTTTGTTGGACTGACCTGGTCTTGATGATGTCAACGGGCAACGAAGCGACGGTGGTGATGAAGCCTGCTATCATGGAGGACACGAAGTGCAGCGCTATGCCTTCCCCGAATGTATCGAGCAGCATTTCGCGAGCCTAGAATTAGAGTTTAACAAGTCACTGATCATTTTTACAGCTAGGAGCTTAGGACCTACATTCCAATCTGAGATTATGTAAATGCTACACCGCTGCATTTAGCTCTACACCAGCTTTTCCTAACCTTTTTTGTCCACGGACCCCTTAGGAAATCAGGCACAATTTTAAGGACCACCTTAATAAAAACGCAGCAATAAATTATGATTACGAGACATTTGGTGGCTTTAAATAAGCCGATAAGGCTCCGGACTCCCAGGGCAGGGGTCCGCGGAACACAGGCTAAGAAACACTGCATAATTACGTTTATAACCGAACGACTTTATGGACTTCTTACGTAAACTGAATCACTTTTTTCTGGTGACTGGTGGGGTCACCATAAACCAAAGTCCAAAAAAGTCTACATCCGAAATGAAACAAGACTAACTTGAGCGTAAGAGCCGAGTTGGGCCCCGTTGACGACCATAGCGCGGGTGACCGTGGCCACGGCGCCTCGCCACAGTGTCGTCACGCCTTCCTCTCGCGATATTCTGCAACACCACATAAAGATGTAATGGTCTAGCTATTTATTCCACTTTGATCACCTGGATTAAATCGCGCAGATGATCAAAATGGTCTCCAAGAGACACTTTGGTGTCCATCGATCACCCATAGACAAGATCACCAGTTCGCTCATTAAGATGATCTACATCGATTTGGAAACACTGAAAAGTTAGGTTCCCTCAAGTGCTGTTAATGGGTGACCAAGCATTTCAGTGGGAATAATCTCGACATGTCCCACTACTTATCTGTGAACTATTTTTTGAATGAATAAGTAATTAGTTGTACATTTTCAGTTTTAATCCCAGAAATTTACCTAATAAGTAGACGTCCTGAAATTCTTACTGAAAAGACTCGTGACTCCGGCCTCAACACGAACCTATACCTACCTTTCTGATAGTCAGATACTTAAATTAGGCCGAAGTCACACTTTGTGTAGAGATAAAAGAGTCTAATTTTCAACCACGGACTTCTACATATTAACTAAGCAACGTAGACTCTAACCTGGCCAAAGCATTAAACACATTGGTGTAGTTCCTCCTCTGCTCCGGGGGGAGTCGTCCGTCCGCCGTCATGCGGATGAGGGCCACCTCTGCCGGGGTGCCGACGAAGGCGCCCACGCCGCCCGCCGCCATTCCCATCAACAGTTTTACGGGGAAGCTGGGGTTCCCGTACTTGCTGTCATGGGATCGTTAGGAATTTAGTCGAATCTTAATGGGCAATAGCTAAAATACGCATAAAATACGCATAAAATACGCCCTAGGTCCTCGTAGCATCCAAACGGGGGATGGGAGTTACTTACTTAGTTCCAGTGAATGTACAAATGGGAAAGAATTGGAAATTTGGTTTCGCGGACTCTGAAATGGGTTCAGTATCAGTAAAAATAACTTGATAGAGACCTAAGGTAAGATTTATTTTTCCGAAATATTGAGACCTTATTCAGATTATCTCTAAAATCTATTGTGTGTGATAAGCAAAGTTGATGCTTTCTCGCATTGTAGGTACCTAAAAAAGTTTAGTAGCAAAGTTCTTGTTGCTCTTCAATCATGAGGATTTCGTTTTAAAACAAAATTCTGGTATTGACCTAGTTATACCAATATTTGTTCAGGAATATTTACACTTTATAAAAGTCCATCAGCGCATTGAAGCAGCCAAGGCGCCCGGTGGTGTACGTGGCCTGCCTGAACAGCGCCGCAGACAGGCCGGTGTACAAGCCCAATATCCCGTCTTTCTTCACGATGTCGCCCGTGATGTCGATGAACGACTTGCCCTTCTCGCCCGGGCCTAGCAGCTGCATCCGGGTCTTCACCAGGTCGGCCGGTTGCACCACGCATATCGACATCATTCTGGATAATTGTATCTTATTTAAATGTGGCAAAATTAGCAACATATACTTACTTATGTTTTCAAAACACCGAATACTTATGAAGTATTTTTATTTATTTGCCCCTAAAGTTCAAGCGCTCTGCCGAAAACTAGGTATTTTTCAGAAAGTAAGCGACAAAATCTAATTTAAACTTTTTTGGTTCAATGGAATCTACCCTTTCTGCATTCAAACTTAATTCTAGGATGTTGGTGAGAGATTTTTTAAAGTTCCTTAAGCCCCTCATACTAAGCTAAGTGATTGTGTTACGAGTGGGCTCACCACAATAGTCGAGCGGCGACGGGGTTCGAACCCGCGTTCCTCGGATGACGATTCGGCCACTCTCGACCCTTTTACGTTCGGCTAATCGTAGCCTATGAGCTAAAAGCGGGCCGCAGAAAATAAAAATGTTATAATTTCGCTATTTTTATTAGGTCGCTGGAGGGCCGCACATACCTAATTGTAATGTAGTGCATCCTTGCCCTAATAGCTACATCTGACTTACCCAGCCATTCCTCCTAGCACGAAGTTGACCCACATCGGCATCACCTTGGGTGGTGGTTTTTTGTCGGCCATTTTCACTTTCTTTCCAGAACACAAAAATCATCACAGATGTGGAAGAATCTTGAGGCTACTGTTTTATTTTATTTTTAATGCTGTGGATGGTGGATGGTGGTTTGTTTTGACCAGTTTTGACTGCTTGAGTGACATTTATTTGTTTTCTTAATAAATCTGTCATGGTGATTTTGTCTTTCAGAGGATTTTAAAGTAAAACTTCTTTCGTTATTGAATAAAATTTTGTATTGTCTTTGATTTTGCTTAGTTTGGGACTAGCGGCACAGTGTAAAATGTCCAAGGATATTTTTATTTATTTATTTATTATTTCAGATGTCTGCCTGGAATATTTACGCTAAATAAAAGTCAAATAAGTATCATACAATTCATTTCTATTGCAATAAAAAGAATCATCATATCAAAGAAAGTATAATATAAATGAATGTTTGTCTTCAAGTTATCACCACTGCCATTCTTCTGTGTAATCTTGATCGACTGCAAAATGTCTCCTGAAATAATAAAAATATTAATGTTACCGACAACAAGGATTGTTTATTGTGATCCTAACATACAAGAGATAGCTCCCTGTACCTCCCTTAAAGTGCTACGGAAATCTCCGCTGTCCTCTAATTAATTTACCTACCAGAGGGAAATTGAGGATTTGACCTAGGTACATTACCCAGATTGGAAGTTCGCATGCCATTAAGGGACCTCCCACTAGTGTGGGTACGCTGACGTTGAATGCAGACCACAGATTGTACAGCGCCCCTCGCGGTTACTTTCAAGAACTAAAATCTTCATAGAGTTTTTTGAAGCACTCTCCAGCGAGCACACCTAATGTAAACCCATGGTAAGCGTACGGAACAACTAATGAAGATGAGCTAAAAGACTGAGAATAACGATGTTTCTTGTCTGCGAGGCGGTGCCAATGCCCATCATGACGATGATGATAGGCCTGAAAATCTCTTGAACCCCGTATGTAGATGAAGATGAGCTAAAAGACATTGAGAATAAAGTTAATTCTTGCCTGCGAGCCGGCGGCGTGGCGGGCGAGGCGGGCAAGTTGATGATGACGATTATGAGCTAAAGACATTGAGAATAAAGTTAATTCTTGCCTGCGAGCCGGCGGGGTGGCGGGGGAGGCGGGCGAGGCAGGTCCCGAGGCGGCGGGGCGGCGGCGCGGCGAGCCCGGCTGCCGGCGCGCCACCTCGCCCAGCAGCGACAGGCAAGAACGGGACAGCCGCTGGCTGAAGTTCTGCGGGATTTTAACACATTGAAGGACAGTAATGTCCACAGGCGTTCAAGTAGTAAATGATGATACGACAGAACGCCTATAGACGTCATAGTTTTTACTCATTTTACATTGACACTACTCACAGTACTCACATAGGCAATGTATGTGAATAAGTAGTGTCGTATTGGGAAGTTATTCTTAACCTGTATTGTCCACCAAAGTGTTAAGCTATTAAGTCATAAAAAAGGTTTTATCCCAGTTAAACCTCATCGGTCCAGTGACAGGAGTTGAACGTGCCAGTGCCGAGAAGATATAGCCCAAGAAATCGAGCTTCTCAAAAGCAAGAACAGCAGATTCCCTACCTACTGGACACTCTAGACACGTCTATGCAGGGCTCCACGATTGGGGTAGTAACCCATCGTCTGTTTAAAAAAAAACCTGTGAACTAGAACTAATAATCCAAACTTCGAAACGTATTAATGGCAGATTTTTTTACAGTTTCCTTTTTTAGGGAAAAAGGGCCTTGATCCTCAATGCAAGCCTCCCCATCCTTAAAATCCTCAGTAGGTAAAATAAGTCCCGTACGCTAGCTAGGAATTAGTAAAATCAGAAAAACTACGTACTAATTATTAAGCCCACCGTGGGCCACGTCATATGCTGAGTGGAGTCCCATTGCGATGGGCACTGCTCAGTTCACTTTTTATTTTCTTGTAATATTTATATACTACTAGCAGACCCGGCGAACTTTGTTCCGCCTTAATGGCAATAAATAAGCAGACTTTTTTTTTATTTCGAACGGGATAAAAAGTATCCTATGTCCTTCTCCTGGCTCTAAACTACCTCCCTGACAATTTTCAGCTAAATCGGTTCAGCCGTTCTTGAGTTATAAGTGGAGTAACTAACAAGACTTTCTTTTATATACAACGNCTGATAAGTTTTTTTTTCCAAATATTTACTGTGTTTGACGAAACAATTGCAAAACAATATTTATCTTTCGTACTACTGAAAAGACCGAATATATCCATCCCGCACCAATGCATCCAGCACCTAAGGTCAATTCGACCCGATAACGCAGTGTGAACGTGTTAAGTATGCTTTTTTAATAAAAAAAAATCTTTGAACATCAAGTCCCTTTAAATAGTTTCCATCCTTTGACTACAACTTAATAAAAATAAGTACCATAACATAATTATTTTGAAGATTATTTGATATAGACAAAAAATAATTTATAAGGGAGAGTCCGCTAATTTGGACCAGTTTTTTTCAATCCCATTTTACACATAGTTTTCTTTTGTTTTTGCTAATGTCCATGGTATATAATAAAAGATACATTATTCAACTTACTATTTCATAAGTATTAATTAACATGATTGTTGTATATTTAGCACAAATCAACAAAGTACGAGTTCAGAGCTTCGGTCCAATTTAGCCAACCGGTTCGATAATTTGTACCACAGGGTTGAGCCGTATGGCAGTCACGGAAATTGACTCAAGCAAGATCAAAATATTTGGGTCCAACGTCAAACCAGTTCTGCTCTATGGGCGTGAAACGTGGAAGGTCACTAAGGTTATCTCGCACCAGCTGCAGATCTTCTTCAGCCGCTGTCTTCACCGAATTCTCCAAAATCTTCAAACGACGAACTTTTGGAACGCTGCCACGAAATACCGATCTTTCAGCATAATAAACGCTGCAAGTGGAACTGGATCGGCCACACTCTCCGAAGGGACCCCGATCACATCCCCAAGCAGGCTCTAGATTGGAACCCCCAGGGTAAGTGCAAACGTGATCGCGCCAAAAAAACATAGCGGCGCACTGTTAAGACTTGGAGCGAGATCAAAGACGAAGCTCAAGACCGAATGCGATAGGAGACATAGGACATTGAGTAACTAATATTATATGTATAATGTATAAATGTATGTTTTTTACTCTTTTACGCAACAACTACTTAACAGATTTTATTGAAACTTTACAATATTGTCGTATAAACATCAAAATAACAAATGGCTAGTTATGATAACATTTATTTTACCATAACTTAAAAAAAACCTTAGAAAATAAAATATTTTGTTTTATTTTTGATTACTCTGACCCCCAACTTTGATTACCCCGACCATGAAAATTATGATGTCGCATAACTTTTTATTCCTGCTTGCTACAGATGGGCCAATATAAAAAATATGCTCGTAATAATGTCTATTTTGAAATGTTTTACCTAAACTTACTCTAAATTAAAAAATAAAAAAGGTCGGGGTAATCAACAAAATAATCCAGATCAGGAGAATGACCGAAATATCATAAGGGGTGTCAATTTTCGACGAATTTCATAATTTATTGTGTAACTTAAAAAATAATTGAAATAGATTTTTTTTCTTATTTTTCCTAAAGTAGTCATGACTATGTTCATCCTACGGCGCCGGCTTATCCTTGAATTTTGGGACACGTTGTATATAGATTTTTGTCTTTTTTTCCGTATACGTTCTTTGTCCTTAACTAAGTACTAGAGATGAAACGGATATCCGGCAACTATCCGGTAGGCCGGATATCCGGCCTAAATTTACTATCCGGCCGGATACCGGATAGTAGCTCACTATCCGGCCGGATACCGGATATTAAAAAAACTACGAAAATTTCCTATAATAAAATGAAACACATTAATCTTTGAGTCAAATATCAATAAAATGGCTTTTAATAATGACGGTTTTTATCTAAAGTCCAAAAAGTTACAAAAAAGCCATATTAAGGCTTTTCAAAAAATACTAATTTCTTTTCTGGGCTATTCACTCTAATGACGAATACATAAATAGTAAATATTTTTTATGTCGAAATATTGCCAAATAAAATAGGCGATCTTTTTTTTGACTGGATGGTCTGATGACATATAGGGTGACTTTGAAATCGTTGGCATCCTTTTAATATAAGACTACTCATGATACATGGTGCTCTTAAAAAGAGTTTAAAACTATTGTACAGTCAACAGCACATCATCCTATACATTGTGTTGCAAAATAACACTTAATACATTGAAATAAGATGCCACAATATGAAGATTGATGTGCTGTCGTCTGTACAAGATTTCAAATATTGAAATTTTAATTCATTTGATATGACTCATATTTGGGGAATCATGAGTAGTCTTATTTTAAAAAGAATGCCAACGATTTCAAAGTCATCCTGTATAATGCAGTTCATTCAGATTACGCAGCAAGTAAACTAATTGAATTTTCGCTATTCAATCGCATACTCACGATGGCAACCGAAATCGCCCGAATTGATCTGCCCCTTAGACGAGTGGCAAAATCTGACATTCTATTCGAACGAATTCGATTTTCGAAAAGTGTGACTTGTCTAGTCTACTAGACCTACTGATCGCGTTCGAAGCACCTGTGCAGCGCTAAACTCGTTACGACATGCAACATGACAATGGGACAACTATCCGGCCGCCGGATATCCGGCTATCCGGCCTAGCAGCTCGCCGGATATCCGGTATCCGGTATCCGGCCAAACAACTATCCGTTTCATCTCTACTAAGTACCTAATGTTTTTTTCTTACCGGCAAGCAGGAGCCCTTCATCTCGCGCAGGTCGATCTTGCGGAACACCTCGCACAGCAGCAGCTCGTGCACCGTCGGCGCGCGCGGCCCGAAGATCTGCTCGATGATCTCCACCACCTGCGGGGTAACCTCACTTATTGCTACAATCAGCCAATATCATCATCCCTTCATCATTTAGCCTAGGCGCAGACCACCGACTTTTTGTAGGCCGATAGTTGGGCCCGATTCTAATTTGTATGAAGAATCGGCCGAAACCAAATCGGTGTAATGTGCGCACTCTCATACATCTCCATACCATACTGATTACAGCCCGATCCAACAACTTATCGGCCAACTAAAAGTCAGTGGTCTGCGCCTAGGCTCAATCTCCATTGCAGGTCGTGTTCCTCCAATTTCGGCATCATCATCATTTCAGCCACAGACGCAAGAACACCTCAATTATGCCCACAACCAGCGTAACTATCATCATCTTTTCAGAATTTAATCTCCATCAGAGGAAGATGATACTCTCCGATTTCATTATCATCATCACCATTTAGCCACTGGACGTCCACTGCGGAACTGCCTCCCCAATAATTTCCAGATTGGTCGGTTGGTAGCGGCTTACGCTAACTCCAGTGCCTTAATGCTACTGAGGTCTTCTGTCCACCTTGTGCGTTTGTCACATCTCCAATTAACCAAAGACAAATCGAGGATCTGACCTGCACTCCTTATTCTGGTCAAACGGCTTGGGGAGGACTGATGTGTTGAACATTCAAACTCTTCTTCTTCGCAAAAAATAGACCTCTGCTGGACAAAGGCCTCCCAAGGATTTCTACAACTATAGGTTTCCGTGACCATCACCATCGTCGATCTACTTCTTCAACTGTAATGGACTATGTTACAGATTACAGAACACCGTAGAAAACCCAAGGCAAACTTCAGAAGCGTACTCACATTAGGATAGTTCGGCGCCAAGTCGGGTAACAACGCCAGGTCGAGTTCTGCGCCAGCGCACATCTCGAACAGCACCGCGCCGACGCTCATGGCTTCCACCAGCTCCGTCTGCGCGGCCAGCGCAATCGGGCAGCGGGGCAGCGCGCCTATCAGGGTGTTCTCTAGACCGCATATCCTGGGCATATAGGGCAGTTCTTCTTCTTATCGTGTCGACAACAAACCTACACAGTGTCAGCCCGAAACTCCGCTACAAGAGTGTAGGGCAGTTGTCGCCAATAAACAATAATTCCAGCACAACTCCTCCAAAATTCAAATTATTTTAGCTCTGAAAACCTAGTTTGTTAAAAATGTTGTATTAGATTTTTGAAATCAATAAATAGGTCAATTGAGTCAGCGAACCAGTGATTATAATTATCTTTGTCTTACGAGTAGAAGTCACCAACCTTTTGGATTCTTTTGGTTTTGGAAGCCAAAAAAGGGTTTGACAGATTCTAGACTCGTGGGTATGAATTTCATTCATTTCCTGACTGAGCGGTAGGTTTGGTGATACATAGTTAATACCTAGCTGGGCTTTTACATTCTATGGGCTTTTTAAGTATTCGATATCACTATGACAATCTATGCAAAAATTTAAAGTGGGAAACCGCGTATCAGATTACACCAGGAAATCTGCTAACAGGGAGAAAGGGTGGGATATCGTGCGGAGAGCTGTACCCGCCTCTAGGTACGAGGGCGGCACTGAAAATTTCGGGAATCAAGGAAGTGAAACAACATTACTATTTAAAAATGTATTTATTGCTTTTTAAAGTATTCTCCGCGAAATTTGACACATTTTTCCATACACGAAACCAATCATTGAAGCAAACATTGCATTCGGAAGTTTGGGTCTCCAAAATGGCCGTTTTGTAGGCTTCCACAGCTTCTTCAGGTGATGAAAATCTCTGACCACGCAATTTATTCTTTATTTTAGGGAAAGTATAGAAATCATTAGGGCTTAGGTCGGGGCTGTACGGCGGTTGGACTAATAATTACATATATGTTTTCTTGCTTTAAAAACTCTTTTGTTCAGTGCGCGGTGTGAGAACTCGCATTGTCGTGATGGAGGATGATGCGGCGGTTGCAGTTCTCTTTACGGAGTTCAGAAACGACCTGTGGCAAACAAATGCTAGCATACTAATCTGCATTAACCGTTCTTTGTCCCCCAAGAGGAATAGTCGCAACATGGCCGGTTTTGGAGACAAACGTGGCCACCATTTTTTTTGCAACACTCCGTGAACGAACAATTTTTGTTGGCTTTAATTCATTTTCGAACACCCAAACTCGTGACTGGTTTTTTGTTTCGGGTTCGTACGCGTATATCCATGATTCGTCACCTGATACGATGTTGTATACAGCATTTGAGGATCCTGCATGTAATCTCCCGAGAGTTCTGACGCACCAAGTAACGCGAGCCGCTTTTTGCTCTTCACAGAGCGCATGCGGTATCCATCGGGAAAACAACTTTTTTACACCTAATTGTTCATGCAAGATTATTTGTATTTGACTCATGCCAATGTCTAAAGTTGCCTGAATTTCGCGGTATATCACATGTCGATCTTCTTCAATCAGCTTACGCACAGCATCAACATTTTCTTAGGTGACTGCAGTTTTTGGACGACCTTGACGGGGATCATCACTGAGCTTGACACGTCCACGTTGAAATTCAGGAAACCAGCGATAAATTGTGGTTTTGGATGGGGCTTCATTACCAAATGCAGAAATCATCCGGTCAACACACTGTTTTTGTGTTAAACCACTTCAAAAGTCATAATAAATCATCGCTCATGAATTTTCTCGAGACAATTCCATTTTCTCAACGACTAAACAAGTTTGACAAGACCTTGTGATACGACCGAGAATCTTTTTTTAAATAAATAAATGGTATACGATTTTTGAAACCCTGGAGTTTGCAATTAAATAGATTTTAATATGACTGGAACAGTGGAAATATTCCATTCCCGATACTTTTAGTGCAGCCCTCGTACAACCGACGTGAACGCCTCATCGTGGCCTCGACCGCTCTGCCAAGAGCGAAATGACTAAGAGGAAGATGTTACAACAGCAGCTATCATACTTACCGCGCCACTCCATTTTGGACCACCACGTTGCCGGAATGCAGGTGGCGGAAGGGCGGGAACCCCTTCTCCTTAAGGAACATCAGTCCCTCCAGCATCTGGCGGCCGAAGCGAGCCACCTGCCACGCTGGAAGCCCGGTACCAGTTGACCCGTACTTGCGAGGGTACTCGTCGTTCCATGTGCTCTGAGCAATAAAGCCAGTTACAACTGAACGAGGGACAACTTGGCTTTTAATTTAAGCTTCGGCCAAGCCAACGCGTGCAATTCGCGTTGCGTTGGCGATGGCAATCACTGTGCGTGCATCGATCGCCGCTACCAATGACAGGCGTTGATGTGAACGGACGAGGGACAACTTAGCCTTGAATTTAAGCTTCGGGTAAACCAACGCGTGCAATTCGCGTCAGCGATGGCGATCACTGCGCGTGCATAGATCTCCACGACCAATGACAGGACGCGTTGATGTAAACTCATCGCTACAAATAATTCATACACGAAATCTGATCGCCATCACTATCGCCATCGCGGACGAAAAATTCTTCAATAAGTCAGAATAAGTGACAGATGGTGACAGAAAAAGCTATGGTACTCTCTAACCTAGATGAGAACTTTGCATACATACAATACATAATATTATTATGGTAAAAAAATGAAGTTATGAATCGCATTAAGTACACGAGTTACGCTATATTTTTTCTTAAATATTTGAGCTGCAAAATAAGCACACTTAAAAGAGCTTTCATGCAATTAACATTTTCAAAAAACGTTTCAAAACTAGTTTATTATGAAAGCTTAGAAAAGAACTCTACCTTGTAGATGAGGTCTTTCAAGCTGCCCCGAGAGTTAAAAGGGAGCACGGCTAAAGCATGCCCGTTGCAGAGCTCCAAATCCAGAACAGGACAGATGTATGGGTGATGAAGGGCTCGGAACAGCTCCATGATGAGGCCTCGGGAGCGCTCCGTCGGCTCCACTGGGCATTTGTTGGTCAGCGGCATCTGTGAAGATCCAAATGAGAACACCCAGCAGAATGATGACATGGATCCGTGCAAGATATTATGGCTTATGGACAAACCCTCTAGGTCAGTGGTTCTTAACCGGTGGTCCGCGGACCACTGGTGGTCCCTGGAGGCATTCCAAGTGGTCTGCGAAGACATCGTAATAAACAAGTGACGAGTCAACACAAACGCAAACGGCGCACAGTGGGCGAGAAATCGACGTCTCCTTTCATAGGATTTTGAAGAAAAAAAAAGTGGTCCCTGACCTGACAAAAATTTGGTAAAATGGTCCCTCGTGACTTAATGGTTAAGAACCACTGCTCTAGGTGAAATTATAAAACAATCTATGAAAAAAGGAGGAACTCTATTTAAAAAAGCGAAAGGTCACTGATTGACTGACTCACTCACTCATCACGAAATCTCAGAAACTTCAAGTGCTAGGAGTCTCAAATTTTGCATGGGGTTCCTTTTAGAACGTAAGTGCTCACTAAGATGGGATTTTGCAAAATTCAACCCCTAAGGGGGAAAACGGGATCCATGCGTACGAAGTCGTGGGCAGGCGCTAGGTATAGGTACATAAGCTTGTTCGCTGTGGAAAAATCATACTCTCTAATCTGTGGGAAAAAATATAACATTATCCAAAACTAAGTTTTTCACTTACCAAGGTGAGAAGTCTGTCAGTTTTGATGGAGTTGTCGTGAATGGCGAACCAATGTTTGTTTGGGCGTGAACCGATGGCGCCCAGTTGAGAAATTAGATCGTACCTAAAAAATATTAACTTTTAAGTAGTTTGTCATTCTCCATGAAAGGAAAAAACTGGCTAGCGAGATAGATCAGAAAACATGTAGAAAATTGTGCGGGACTAAAGCAAATTGGAATAAAAATAAAATAAGAGCCAAGTGGACTGTGTTTGAAGCAATCAAAGATACGTTATGCTGTTGTAAATGTTACTGAAAGGACTAAAATATTTAAAGTAGGTAAATGTTCGTCTAAACTCACCTCGATGTTTGTGACAAGTATTCTGTGCATATTGCCAAAGCCGCTGAGCTCTCCATCGACCGTTCGACTCTAACAAATTAGCAAGCAAGTTATATTTTGAACTCTTTCAATAATTAACAAATAGTTGTGTTAGAAGAGAGTAACGGTAGCAAAAGACATCAAACGCATATTTTACAGTTGGTGGAAAAATGTTACAACAATACGTACCTTGGTGACGCCGGTGGTTCCGACGGTGAAGATTTTCCAGATCCTATACCCATCAGGGATTTGTTGAACAACAGTTTGGCCAACGAGTCTATCTTCTGTGCCACCAGTGGAGTACGCTCCGAGTTTTCTTCTAGAAATTAACTATCGTCAGAATCACACAATCTTCGACTAAGAGAGTTTAATATACACAGTCAAGAGAACTTTTAAATTCTTCAATTTGACCAATTTAGAAATAATTTGTTTCATTTGCGTAATTTGAATTTAATGTAGGTAATTAGGAATAACATTTCGCTAAATATTAAAATGTAATCAACTTTTGGAAGATAGTTAATATAAAAGATAAAGGAAAATTATACGAAATCTAAAGAATAATAAGTTCTAACATATTTTATATTATAGAGAGAGAGAGAGAGAGGGGAACAAATAAGCGAAAAGAAGAACCTAGCGTACTAAATATAGAAGAAAGAAGAAGTACTTGAACTACAAGCGTCTGCATCTTCCTGCTTCCCAGCGTCTGCAGCCAGCCAAAACAGAAACAGCAATTGAAAATAGCATTAGAAAAGGTTGGAAGACCATAAATGCGCTACAGAAGTAGTAACAGACCTAATTTATCAGGGAGAGATAAGACGAAAGAAGATGGCAAAGATATACACCCGTTTCCAATATTCAATCCGTGTCCAAATCCGGATTGCAACATTGCAACTGACAAATTTGAATCTGTTTTCGATCACATATCCATAATTTTTGATGCGGCACTTTAATATTGTTTAAATAAACAACATGAAAATGTAAAAACATCGAAAATCGTTTATATTTTAACCAAAAACATATTGAAATTTAACAGTTGACGGACATTTCGGATTAGGATTGAATATAGAAAACCAGCATTAGCCAACATACCTTCACTTTCTTCTCTATCCGTGGAGACAGAGCGTATCCGAAAAGCATTTCTCTTGTTAGCAGCTGCGATGGATTCAGGATTCAGTTCAGCAGCAGACTGGGCTCTCCTGCAAGCTCCACGACGTTTCTTCTTCCTATAACTGGTCCTGGGACGCTCCTGGTAGAATCTATCGTGTCCTGTATACTCGGGTTCCTTCTGCTCCTTCCCACCCTCATTATTCTGTTTCATGTGTTGATACAAGTTGAACATTTTTGCTTTCTTCTTCAGCAAGTATAACTTGAACTTGACGAGTCTGTATTTCATCAAACTGCGCTGTTCGAGCAACAATTTTTCCACACACGTCACCTTTACTTATTGATTGATGGTACGGTAGAGTTGGTGAAACATTTTATGTTCACGATTAATTGAAACCGACAATTATTTGTAAGGTTAATGTTTTAGAGAATTACATCAGTTTAAATGAGGGACGTGTATACGTAGGACTGCAATTTGCCTGTGTCGTGCCTAAGTGTGTCAATAGTCGCTAATTGAAGCCCTACAAGGAGGTATTAGCCGCGCTATGAACACATCTACCTAACAACCGTTCCCCGATGTCCAATAGCTATGACTTTATGTATTTAATCCAATACAACATGTATGTGATGTGTTCGTTTATCATGAATTGACAACTTTTAATTTTGACTAGGTTTCCATTGGTACTATTACACAAGAAACAAATGTAGAAGCTGATAGAGAATATCTTGAAATAAAATCTCATTTCAACATTGTATTCAATATAATTTATGAAATTTAAAACATAACATCCCACTTATCAATTCTAAATACAGTGTTATTACAAAACAATACAATAAGATTCACATAAATTATAAAATTGCAATGTTTGGTTCGAATATAGGATCTATATTTGCAATTTAATTTAGAGATTTGACTGATTTCTTTATTTTCTCAGTCTTATTTATCTCTCATCAGTTAAATTCAAAGAAATAAGTTTAATATCCATCTTTTTCTTATTTCTTTTTGTCCTCTTTTCTATAGAATTTTTCAGTCAAGTATTCGAACATTAACAGGGTTCCAATAGTGTGTATCGTCATCCGAATGAAGTAAGGGCCTATTCCTTTCCAAAGGTACCGTACGCCTTTTCGTGCCAATATATCGTTTAGTATGTCCTTTTGGGTCATCGTGTCGCTTCTTACTTGATACCTAGGGACAATTTACTTTTGTTAGTATTGTAAGACAAATAGGAAGGTTTTGTTGTTACAAGACAATCTTGCTGATAAGGGCCTGGGGGTACGTTCTGTAAGGATCTCATTGGGATATGAGCATTAAATCTACCAGTTGCACCAAAAAAACTACGTAAAATGACTTTTGAAAAATTTTGTCTGAAGCGACACTTTCGAGCCATAAAGTAGGTAAACCGCCCCGTTTTCAAGACACTGATTTTTTCAAGTAACTGAAGTCACCCCGAACCGTCAGAAAGAATAAAGAAGAAAGCATAATGGATAAAAATTAATAAAGATACCTTGTTTTCACGAGATCGATAGGCAGTGATAGTATTGTGGTCACAAAACTGGACGCCACAGAAGTGAAAAAATGGGCAGTGTAATAGCCTTGTAGTATCTTGTTCTGCCTCAAGAATTCATTCACCTGGTACAGTAAAAAAATGTCATTTTCTTGGGAAAAACGACACAAAATGTCGAGCCAATACCGGCCTGTTATTCTAGACCTATGAGTGGATCAAGCTAGAAGTAATGTTTTTCAGTAAACCATCGTCTGATTTTATCAGATAAATAAACCTCAGGATTGTTTGATTGAGAATCCCACAGGAGTGACTACGGAGGAAAAAGCCAGTAGTGTTCAATTTTACAGCTCTACCATTAGGTACAATCACTCCATTACATACAAAAGAACAACAGAATGCCCATAGTTTGGTACCGTTGACGGCTGTTGACAGCACACCACAATGTAGATTTCCGTTGCAAAAAAGCACACGATGCCACAGTATTTATTTTGATACGCGACCGCGGGCCGGAAGACGTAGCGTGGGCAGGCCTCCCACTAGGTGGACCGACGATCTGGTGAAAGCTGGGCGAAGGGCGTTATGGAAATCCTTGGGGGAGGCCTTTGTCCAGCCGTGGACGTCATTTGGCTAAAACGAACGATGCTGTAGTCTGTCAAATGTGGACGTACCTCTGCATATGTCCCAATTTGAGCAACGCTCACAAGCATCGCTCTGCTCAGAGTCAAGGTGCTGCCTCGCCAGAGAGTGCGTATTCCATCCTCGCGGGCAATACTGCAACAAGAAGCATTGAAGCAATAACTGAATCATGGCTCTGGTGACTTCTAAGTCACCGTTCCGGAAAGTAGTAGAATAAGTAGGATTGGTTAGAAGACTTCCCCGCTCTTCCCGTGGATGTCGTAAAACGAGGCCACTAAAAAAGCCTGCTTGGAGAGTGTAGGTAGACCAAGTCCTCCCTTTTGTAATGTGTCCGTTTTGTGACCTGATGACGATCCAACACTTTCTGGTAACGGCGAGAGTGCGTGCACCAACACAATCTCTGAAGTTAGTCTCACCAGCAGAAGGCGTGGACATACTGCAGCTGAAATGATGATGATGAAGGGATGAAGATGGTGCCTCACCAGTAGAAACTTTGAGCCAACGCAAAATTGCCGTGTAATTATTCTGAGCAGCTTGTGTAGTTACTTAGAACTGTTTCCATACGTGTACGAGATTATTCCCACCGCTACAACACCTGTCTAGCCAGGATCTACAGCCTGACTGTCACAAAAACCCAACCATTGAAGGCCAAGTTTGTTCCAAGGGAACATTATAAAAACTTCTTCTTATCGTGTCGACAGCAAACCTACACAGTGTCAGCCCAAAACTCCGCTCCAAGAGTAAACTGTCATGTCATTGCAGTCTCGTGTCTCTTGGTGTTCGCTTGGGCTGTGATTAAAGTGCTTTCTGCGTCACGGTCTCTTTTTTTCATTTACAATTCTCACCAGTACTAGGAAGACGCTCCACGCGGTCGCCGAGCACGTAGAATTTCGTCCAATGACCCCAAGCTAACCATCCTTATCGCTCGCACGTAATTATATTGCTGTCGCGCTTGCACACTCACTGCGGCAGCCCGTCGCTACACGCTATTCTAGTCTAGTTACTTAGTTGTATGCCCTCACCAGTAAAAGGCGTGGAAGACGCTGCGGCAGCGGCGCGGACTTGAGCACTGCTAGAATCGCCACAATTTTTTAATCTACACCACTTCTCTGGTTACGCAGACTTGTGGCCTCACCAGTAGAAGGTGGATCACGCTGCGATAACGCTAGAATCGCCAGAGTATTCTGCATCCGCACAGCTTGCCTAGTTACCTAGAAGTGTGTCCTCTCCTCACCAGTAGAAGGCGTGGAAGACGCTGCGGTCACAACTCACAAATCACAACTGTCAAAGTATCTTATTCTAAACAGCTTTATGTAGTTACGTAGAAGTGTCTTCTTACCAATACGGGATTATTCCTGTCGCTGTAACACCTGTGTAGCTATAGCTTGACTGCAAATAAAACCCAGCCAGTGAAGACTAACTTTGTCCCAATGGAAGATTATACTGTCATGTCGTTGCAGTCTCGCGTCTTGTTCACTCCACAGAACACCAATGACTGTAAAAAGTACCTAACGTGCTTTCTGCGTCACAGCCTCTTTCTTTCAGAATTCTCACCAGTAGAAGGCGTGGAAGACGCTGCGGTAGCGGCGCGGGCGCGGGCACGGGCTGCACAGGCGCGGGCCGTCCGCCATCATGCGCACCAGCGCCACCTCCGACGGGTTGCCCACCAGCGCGCCGAGGAGACCCGCGTATATGCCGATCACCACCTTGTAGCGCGCTGCGGCTCGAGCCAACGTCATAATTGCCAAAGTATTATTCTGAGCAGCTTGTGTTACTTAGAAGTGTTTTACGGGACTATCTATTCCTGTCTAGCCAGGATCTACTGCCTGACTGTCATAAAAACCCAAACCAGTGATGGACAAGTTTTTCCCAAGAGAATGTCAAACTGTTATTGGACAGTCTCGTTTTAGTGTTCGCTCCGCAGAATACCAGTGACTGTAAATAAAGTGCTTTCTGCGTCACGACCTCCTCTTTCTTTCAGAACTTACCTATAGAATGAAGACGCTCCAGTAGTGGCGCAGGAGTGCTTAGAATAGTGTTTTCTTACCAGAGGGCGTGAATCACGTTCCGTTTGTGGCGCAGAGTCGGTCACAATCGCCACAGTATTTATTCTAAACAGCTTTTCAAGTTACTCAGAAGTATACTTAAGCATAAATCACGCTCTGGGTGCGCTAGAATCGCCACAGTATCTACACAGCTTGTCTAGTTACCCAGAAGTGTGTCCTCACCAGTAGAAGGCGTGGAAGACGCTGCGGTAGCGGCGCGGGCGCGGGCACGGGCTGCACAGGCGCGGGCCGTCCGCCATCATGCGCACCAGCGCCACCTCCGACGGGTTGCCCACCAGCGCGCCCAGGAGACCCGCGTATATGCCGATCACCACCTTGTCGTGCGTGCTGAGGCTCGAGCCTTTTGGCACGTTGTATTCCCTAGTGGAGGGAACGTGTCAGTCAGATGGGGCAAGTATAGGCGGGAAATTGATCGAAACCTAATAGTATAAAGTGTAAACACGCATTTCCTTTATTTTATCCTTCTGTCACCCCTGCCTCGCCCATACTTCGGTGTGCGAGCTCGCGCTGTCTCGGTCAATTTTCCACAATATATTATTTGTGCTAAGAGAATAGGGATGTGACGGCACGGCAAGAGATTTCTAGATTCGAGCAACTACAAACAAAAATACGAATTCAATACCAATTTGGTTCACACCAAGATGCTAAAAGTGCCGTCATTCGTAGGCACCTAATTTTATGAATTTTGTAGTTTTTAGTATTATTGGCGTTGTTAGTAAGAACTGTTTAGAAAACTGAATAACTCGAAGTCATGAGCACATTCTGACTCTCAAGGTTTTAGGAAGTTAAAGCCGGCTAGGCTTTGCAAACCACGAACTTTTTGTCAGCCGATAAGTAGTTGGGTCGGGCTGTTATTTTAATCAGTATGGACAAGTACTTATTCAAAGTGCGCATATTACATCGATTTGGTATCTATTCTTCATACAAATTAGAATCAAGCCCAACTATTGGCCGACTAAAAGTTTGTAGACTGCGGAGAGTCTTATTCTTTTCGTAAAGTGGTCTCTCTTGGAACAAAAATTCGCTCACCGCTTATAATAATCGTTCAGCAGATGGTAAGTACTGAGCCTAGTGGTGGTGTAAGTAGCCTGTCGCATCAGGCCCGCGCTCAGGCCTGCATACAGCGCCTTGACGCCCTCACACTTCACCATCAGGCGAGCCACCTCCGTGGTGGAAAGCTTCTTCTCACGCAGCTGGAGACGGACTTTTATGACGTCTAGAGGGTGCACCATGGCTGTGGCTAGCATACTGAAATATGTGATCATTGAATGATCAGTTATCTTTGTATTGGACTGCAAAAACTCAGATTTCACAGTGTTAAGCTGCCTGCTGCTAAAGTCTGGTCGCCTCGCACACTCGCTTTGGCCGCCCGTCGCATAGTCGCGATAGTAATATAATTACGTGCGAGCGATAAGGATGGGTAGCTTGGGGTCATTGGACGAAATTCTACGTGCTCGGCGACCGGACTATATCTAACATACAAACAGATGTAGGTACAAATACCTGGTTTCATCATCATCATTTCAGCCACAGGACATCCACTGTTGAACATAGGCCTTCCCCAATGACTTCCACATCACCTGGTTTAATTGTAGAAAAATGTAGGTACAGTGGGCCACAGTTTCAGCTATCCATTTACGTTTTTTCTCTCGTTCTCATCAAATGACGATTCTTTGCGATAGAACGAGTAAATATGACAGAAAATGGGTAGCTGGAAGTTTGGCCCATAGTACAATTACAAGAAACACAAAATGGCAAACTTAGGCCTCCCAGCGGCGCGGCGATTTCTTCCATAAATTTTGTGTTTATGCTTTGTGCCTTATCTAGGATTTAAGGCGATTAGAGTCCTCAATGACCTTGGGCGTTTGACCTTCACGCCGCGAGCAACACCCGCGTACCCCGCACCAAAAACTCCGATTTGACACCGATCAAAAATACACGGGCATAGGTAGATACAGAATAGAAGCTCTTTCTTCATACATTACTGCCTATTATTTTAAACTTAAATTCATGAACCTTGATGTCGGTGTCATTTAACTCAGGCGTAAAGGTATTTAATAAAGGGACAATATTATTTGATCCTCTAAAAACTAATTGATCTTTTTTGTATGTGCACTTTTAAAAATAAATGATGTTTTTTATTATATTTTATCTTTATATTAATTATTGGGTCTATATTAGTTGATCTACGGATAAATTATGAATGATCTTCATTAAAGGTAACATAATATTTATGTTTAACCTACTCTTTTAATGTTTGGTAAACAAAAATAATATTTGATCCTCTTTTTTAGTTATTGATCTTTAATTTTGTTAATTTGATGATTTTTATATCAAGTTTGCCTTTTAATATTGATCACCTAATAAATACATTTCGATCTAAGTATAACTTAACTTTAAAATATATTTGATCTAACAAAAAATATTATTGGTTAATATTTTTAATTAAAAAATATCTTTTAATTTACGCGGTACTTTGTGGTTGAGTGACAATCGTCCGTCATTGGTTACTGAGTTGGCCAAGGGCTTAGCGGCCAATTAGCAAGAGTACAAGTTTTGTAATTCCTATTATCGTAACGCACACTTGTACCTAATCTACTTTGCCAGTCTTTTGCTTTCATTTATTGTTAGTCAAACATAACTAACCTATTATAACTTCAAAATTTGATTTCCAAAAAAAAATTTCAAAATCCTTTGGTAAAGTTCCATACAACTTGATGTGGTACAATTTAGCCGACTAGGTGATAGTGCTTTTAAAAAATCGGTAAAAAATAAAGCTTATAAATACCGAAAAATGTTTCAAATAATTGTAATCCACACTAATTTACGCTTCTAAATAATATATTAGAAACACCCTGTCATTAAATTTAACAAAATTATAATCTAAACATGTATTGTCAAAAGTTACTTGAAAATAATGAAAAAATACTTTTCAAAATAAAACACACGTGTTTGTTGTCACGGCAAAAACCACATGGCCGATATTAATTGATTTTAGTTGTGTATCGCTGAGTGTTGCAATTACAGACATTCAATAAATACTTTACGAAATATGAGGGTGGTACAATTTACCCGGCGGTACAATATACCGAACTCTCCCCTACAAATCGAATTATTTAAAAAAGTATCACAATATTGAATATTTGGTGCTCATTTCTTTTATTTTTGAGGACCAACAAGTAACGATCAGATATAATTTTTACATCTCAATTTTTTTTTGCGTAGTTCAAAAGAGGTTAAAATATCGATCGATTTTATTTATTTTATGTCTCAAAGAAAGAGGATCAATCATTAAATTAGATGACCATTTAGATTTTTTTATTTGCCGTTTTTGCTAATTTAAAAAGATCATTTAAATACATGCCTTTAATAAAAATAACAAAATCCATGAACATTTTGTACGGGATAAAATTTTATTTTATTTTTCGTAAATTTTCTAATGCTTTTGTCGGTTCAGTCGTTCTCAAAATTTGGCTTGCAATTTATGATGTATGTAGGTAATTACATAAATGTTTGTTCGGGTGGAATCTTGCAAGCTGAATTAGTTAGACCAACTTCTTGACGACAACTAGGCTAGATGACAAAATTTCAATTATTTGTCCGCCAGACAGATAATTAGAAAATATTAGACTCATATTTTTTATTTTCTTTCATAATTAAATAATAACAGTGCTACATCGAGTTGAAATGGCGCGATACGCCACGCTTGAGTAGAATTTTTACTCAAATGTGACGTCACGCGACATTTCAACTCAATATAATACTGTAATTATTCGATTATGGAAAAAATTAAAAATATGAGTCTAATATTTTCTAATTATCTGTCTGACGGACTAAATAGAATTTCGATTTCATTACCCAGTCATCATCCCTATTGGAACGCATTAGTACCTAGTATTGTCTATGGCCTAAAAAAGNTGCAGCGAGTGACACAACCTCCCCGTCTGAAGGCCAGCGGCCGACTGCCGCCCGCACCCCGCGAAGGCCCCCTCAACAGCAAAACGTTCGGAATTTATCAAAAGTAAAATTTATGAATGAAAGTAATGTTCGATTGAAAAACGCAACGTGTCATTTAAAGATTAAAGAATTCCCAATCTATTCGTGCAAAAATCTTTTAAATTAACATAGCCGTTTTGGAGGAGTAGGGAATTTAAGTAAAAAATCGATGTCCCGTATTTATTTTTTTAATCCAAAACAAAGAGACGTAGCGAAAATTCAAACGTCACAAATGTAGTCCTTGAAATGTTGTATAACATATATTTTTTTCAACTATTTTTGTCCAGCAGTAAAAGAGGAGTAGTCTTTACAAAATGCCCATTTGGCGCGGATTGAGGACACTAATCGCCTTAAACCCAGAAACTCCTAGTTCATCATCATCATTTCAGCCGCAGGACGTCCACTGCTGAACATAAGCCTCCCATGGTTTCCAGCTTGACCGGTTGGTAGCGGCCTGCATCCAGCCAGCGTCTTGGTCGTCTCCTGACCGTTTTGCTTCACTTAAGCAAGCATCGTTTGTGAATACGGGTGAGACTCATGCCCGTTTTCACCATCAATCTCTAATTTTTAAGTCACCCCTAATGTAACAAATAACAGGAATTTTGTTTTTATAAGGGTCACTTAAAAATTAGGGATTGATGATGAAAACAGGCATCAGGTAACTTAAGCCTTAGGAATTCCTTACAAAAGTTATACTTACCCAGACACTGTACCGAAGAGCACTTTAGTGGACTTCGGTAGGGTTTTTATTAGTAATTCTGTAGGGGTTTTCTCCATGCCTTATGTTTGTTTGTGCCCAGGGTATGAAGTAATTTCTATGGACCATGGTTTTGATAATTTTTTGCCGAAATATTTACACTTGAAGATAATAGCAGTGTTTTTGACATTTTGTGAAGATTGTGACAAATTGTGACGGATTGAAATCTGTGCTCTATTCTAGGTTCATAGTTGAGAAAGAGGAAGCAACAAAACGTTTAATAGGTGGGTTGGTTCCTACAAATATTTCCTAAGTTAGATAAGGGCCAACTAGAACCACAATACCGCACGTCAGAAGGTGGGAACCTAATATATTATGTGAATTTTAAAAGGTGTATTTGCGAGCCTGTGTAACTTAAAACTGTGGGACAATAATTTAGCATAATAATCTCTCTTTTCTAACGTTAATTTGCGTGCCTGACAGGATATACCTTTGATGTGATATCATTGCCGGTCAGAGCTTTAAAATTTCCATTTTGCCAGTCGTGTGTCTGATTTTAGGCATGTTTAATTTAGCTTGAAAACTGTTGTCTTTCATTTACAATATGAAATGGTTACTACAGAAAACAATGAAACGCATTATTCAAAACAAAAATCTTTAATAACTCGCCTACAACTTTGCAAATTTCCTCTCTTGTTAGTCACAAATCATAATAAAATAGCTTCTATAAAAATATATAATATACAACATGATATCACATGGAATAAGCACTGTAAACGACGAGAAACATATAAACTATTTAAATTAATAAATACCTTTAAATATTTTATCCCAACTAAACAAAATCGCCATACAAATCCTTACAAAAACAAAAATACATTCTAAAATGCATGCGACATTACATAACATAGAACATTACAAATTGTGCTTCGATAGATTTCCCATCAATTTACTTATTTATACCGATTATAGCCTGACCGGGAACATAAAAACCCTGGCATAGAGGCGCATCAATTGCATTTGATAGTGCAACACTGAGTACAGTCGTACCTGTGTTAAATTAAGTAATAGGCTAACTTTATGTATCAGGATTCAGGATTACGGGCTATAATTTAATATTTTCATAAATTAACGAAAACATATTATTATAGGTAACCTGGTTTAAATAAATTAAATGAAACCATCAATCGAGCTAGTAGGATTTATTTTATTATTCATCAATAATCAAATACAGAACTTGAATATTCAACTGCAATGTCTGCTCATGAACGCTTCAAACTCGGTACTTCTTTCCCAATTCCATAAAATTCAACACTTAGAAAGTGACAAAATACTTTAAAATAGGTAGTTGAAACAAACCACAGCTAATTTTCATAGTGGACTGTACTATACGATAAACATGTCAGTCAATTTGACAACCTTTGTTGGAAACATTATTCAATGAAAATATTGTCCGAACCCTTGGTATTTCTCTTCGACAAATACTTTATCACATAGTGAACCACTTTTCTTTCACGAATATAAAAAGATTTCAGCAATTTCATTCACAAAATCAATTGCGCACATTTAAAATAAAGTTTGTTTACACTTTGACAGCAATAGACTGACATGCAAGGTGACATGTCAATGAAGTTTTCAGTTACTGTTGCCATTAAAAGAAATTAGTACCATTAGATTTCCGCAACATGGCGAGGGTTTTTATGTTCCTGGTCAGGCTATAAAGATCATTTTGATTAAAAGAACTGGCACAAAACCAACGGATGATGTCAATTTCATTTGTCAAAATGACAGTATTGTTTCAAATTTGAATTTGAAATGGTTCCAAATTCAAGCCTAGAATCGGCACGTTATTGTCTGCCATAGAGAAACAGTTTTACAGGGAATCCCCTTATTTGTGTTGCCATTTAAAATTTGTACTCGAATATTTATAAAGAAAGCGTGGATCCAGCCAGTGACATTGCAGTTAAATGGGTATTTTTTTAAATTCATTAATTTTGGAAAATTATGTCACATTAGCTACGCAATCATCAATGGCTCGGTCAGCTGACATTAAAACAGTGACGTCACAAACCATTTTGACAGAAGATAAATGTCAATCAGCCAACATGCTTATTTATTCAGTCATTTTCTCATGCCAGGTCTTTTGAAACAACTTATTCTTAACTATGCTATAGTTAAGTTAGTATAATGTAAACACATCCAAAATGGTATATATTTGTACAAATCTGGTATTAATCATTACATTAAATAGGTACGAATGTACATGACAATAAAGAGAATCTAAAATTAATAAATAAAGTTACTTATTTATGAATGGAACAACAGAAATAAAAAAATCAAATGGAATATTTCGGCAGATACGTTAATGAATATTTTATTATAGCGTTATTTTATTATGTACGAAGAATGTTTAAGTATATTAGAAAGGTTGAAAGAATATTTATAATATTTTGGCACTCCATATTCGACTAACAATTGTAAGCAAACATATTTCATCACATAAGCACACAGCAATAATAGTTTCAAATAAAATATACACATCAGGAGTACATAAGTTATAGATATTATATTACATAGTATATTTAGATGAATAAAATAAAAAAATAACTCTTAAACTCTAAGTATCACTTATACAGTATAGATATCTCTCTAAATAATTTATTGAAAATCTTATCTCTCTAAATAATTTATTGAAAATCTTATCTCTCTAAATAATTTATTGAAAAAATATTAAAAATAAATTTATTAGACAGCAACAAATATAAATCAGATATTATGTAGAAAAGATTTTAATTAAATAATTAAAAAATATATATACTCACAGATAACAAAAATGTAGTACTTACATGTAATCTTACTTTTAACAAAAAAAAAGCTGTAACAGTTCAAGATGTGTATATTTCATTTTTTAATTTGGTCGTTTATAGTTTAATTTTGCTTGAGCAAGCTTTTTAGCAACTTATTGACATTTTTACGCATTTTTTTTCATTTGTGACATTCTACGAATGTACGAAACACTTTACATGTACACATTTTAACATTTCATGAGAATAAATAAATTTTCGTCATCGGATAGTTTTGTTTCGGAATTCTAAAACAGCCTCAAATAAATTATGAACAGGCAACACTGAGACGCTTGTCACTTCATGCATATGTCATAGACTAAGCAAAATGATCAAATATGTCTACCCATTCACATTATATCAGCATCCCTGTATACTTATAAAGGCACAGCGTTCTATGCAGTGTCATAGGAGTGTCAAACTTATTTGAATCCCGAAAATTATGGGAGACAATTCATTACCAGCTTCGATTCTGCTAGTAAAACCATATTATGATATAAATATTATTAAAATCACGTCTCAATCCAAATTTATGTTCACTTCAAATCTTAGCATAGGGTTGCCAACGTTCAAATTGCTGCTTGCTCGATACAGGGCTGCATCACATTTCACAACTTACATTTTAATTTAAGGCAGGCAGAAAAATGTTAACCCAACGATTATTGTAATCCGTTCGGCAACACTTTTATATCGTTATCAGATAACGTAGTAAAAGCATCCAAAATGTTCAATATTTAGTCTGACTGAAATATCAAACGAATATCCTATCGTATCACATTATCTTTGATATGTGAGACAGATATACATACACAAACGTCAGCGTTTTGATTACGCTTTAGGCTATAACAGCGAAATGTTGACATTTCCTAAAAATGTTTAACATTAGCTGTACAATTTTGACTTCTACAAATTTTAATATTCCAAAAATTTGAGCACTTCGTGAAACAGCAACTCTAAAAAAAATTTTTAAAATCCTTTTTTAATCTTGGCAACCCCGACTCACCCTGTATAGTCCAGTCTATGTGTACTTAAAGTACGCAGCGTTCATTTGCTCCAGGAATATGAAAGTCAACACGGTGTGCGGGCCGAGACGAGCGTAGTAAGGCAGAAAGCCCTTCCATAGAGACAGTACGCCCTCGTTGCGGAGTAGGTTCGTCACCACGCCTAACTGGCTTTGACCTTTGGCCGCGTTTTGGATTCTGGAACAGAAACATGGCAACATTAAATTAACTGTTATCGCTTGTATTCAAAGGCCTCCAGACTCGATCAGTCATAAAACTCATAAAAGCAAGTAGGCTTTTAAAAGCACGTCCCAATATTAACTGGTGTGTCTAGCTGGCTTCCAAACGCCCTGTATTTGCAATCAAGTGACTGTTATTTTTATACTTGATTTAATCTCTGCTTCTTTTGATAGCCATTTTCACCAGTCATCTATCATCATTCTTTCATTTAAAATTACGCTAAAAATTAAAAATTTTTGTCTAGTCTGCAATTTTTACATACATTTTTCGTTGTGTACAATCCCTACTAATATACTAATATTATAAATGCGAAAGAATATCTGTTACGCTTTCACGCCAAAACCACTGAACCAATTTTGATGAAATTTTGTATAGAGATAGTTTGAGTCCCTGCCCTGGAAAAGATAGTTCTTATCCCCGTTTTTGAAACATGGACGTGCGCGATAAAGTTTTTCTGTGACAAACCAAATTTCAATGGCGCATGGCCGGCGCATTTGTCGGCCGTTTGGTGTAGTGGTTCAGAACGGACTACTATGCCGAGAGGTCCCGGGTTCGATTCCCGGCCGGGCAGAAATTGAAATGATGAATTTTAATTTCTGTGACGGGTCTGGGTGTTACTATGTATAATATTATGTATGTATTTAAAAAAAAAAGTATATAAGTAGTATATCCTTTAAGCTAGCACCCATAACACAAGCATATTAATTGCTTACTTTGGGGCTAGATGGCGCTGTGTGAGATTGTCCAAAGATATTTATTTATATTTATGGCCGAGGAAAAAATCTCAATAAATTGAAGTGTTATTGACCTAATAACGCAATCGGCCCGGTGCGTGTCCGACCAAATACTATTCGTGGACTTATTATCAACAGATATCACTGAATTTGAAGCTTGTTAGCTTGTGTCATCATAACCTATAGTTACGATGAAAAATTATATCATTACAATATTATATTCATAACATAATATAATCTACATATTATTAGAGAGTTTATCTAACTATGAGCGTAATCACTTTCTGATAAGAAAACTACACGTACTAAGTGAATTTTTATTTTATTTACCTACACCTCCGAAAACAAATTCATCAATGTATTTTTCCGTTTAAAACAAACACTTATTGAGATAAGTTAAAGAAAACAGTTCTTAAAACAAAATTGGGTCGCTCGCTAGTGCCCTGTGTATCACTTATGTTGTCATTCTAGTCTGTTCACATTTGCCAATTAAGTAAATAAGTAAGTAGGTAAATGATTAACAAATATACAACTTGTCGATACGAAGTATTTACTACTCAATGAGTTGAGATGAAAATAGGCTGGTTATACGGGGTGTAATGTAGACGTTTGTTTTTTTTATGCATAACCTTTTTTGTTGGCAAATTATAAAGTTGCTTCTGAAATGAATGAATGAATTAAAAATCTATTTATTTACTTACTAGAAGCGATAACGGAATCTTGGAATGGAACTGGTCGAATCGAGACCCGAGGAAAGAGGATTTGAACCCCGCCGCCGTTGGACTATTATTGAGGTGAACACACTCGTACTACGAGGAGTTAACGAGACTATTTGTAGCTAATAAGATTCTTCATAAAAAATACCACCATGAAACTATTTTCACCTCAATATTAGATGCCAAAAATAAATGACACTTAAAAAATTTACACCCTGTATAGTTATATCAGCACAACACGTCACGTTCCAGTCGGTTTATGTCGTGAGTGGCAGACAAATGTTTGTTTGTTTATTTATAACATCTTTGAGTAGTATTGATAGCGAATGTTGCAAAACACTCTATTTAAAGTCCGATGCCAATTATATTAAACTAATGCCTAGTAACTTCACCCGCGTAAATTTCGACAAATTATAAAATATTTCATTCTAAGGTATGGAAAAATAAAATAAATCTGATCTAAATTGCTCGCGCGCACGGGTGACTTTTGTCGCCGTGACTTTTTTGTCACCTCCATATGTTTTTGTTACATCTATGGAGGTGACAAAAAAAATTTGTCATTGTCACGTCGCTCCATGCGCGCACCTCCATACATTTCCATGGACTTGGTGGAGAGACAACAAACAGTTAGAGCTCCACGCACAGGTGACTTTTTCATCTCCATCCATATAAATGTAAAAAAGTTTCTGTCATTGTCACGTCGCTACGTGCATGGTCCAGGATGTGGAGGTGTGCTCCATACATTTCCATGGACTTAAAAAAAAGTCACCCGTGCGCGCGAGCCCTTAACCACTTTTGGGCACAACTTTTGGTAGCGTTTAAAAAATAAGCGTCATCAAATATCAAACGTCTTGAACAAAATGCGAGCGTCAACACCTGTAAACGAAAGCTAAAATGATGGTAATGATTACAAGAATACGTCACCTAGTCTTGATGATGTCCACAGGCATGGAGGCGATGGTGGTGATCAGGCCGGACACCATGGACGCGCAGAAGTGAAGGAATATGCCGTCTGGCACGTACGCCACGAATATCTCTCTCGCCTGCAAAGTAAAAAGTCACAATTCTCTATTAGTTGTACAGCCTGTATGTTTAATTATGTCACCGGATATGTAATGACCGTTAGATTATCGCGAGATTGGGAACTGTCGAAAGATCGTGAATCGTAACATACTGCTTACAATTTAGCACATTGTTTTTTGGTAGAATATAATAGGGAAGTTTCCTGGGTAAATAAGCAAGAGTTTTAATTAATCCGTTAGTTAACTTATCAAAAAATACTCCACACGTATTTTTCACTTTTTCAAAGTAATGAAAATTTAAAGAGATAAAAATATTTTTAGGAAACTAGCCTATTAGAAAGAAAAAACACTTAAATTGACAACTGTCCGAAAGCTGTACTTGATTAGTCGGTCTTATAGTAGTCCTTAAATTGAAGGGGTCGTATTGCTGCAGTGGATACTAAAATGGCCTTATAATGATAACGACACCTTAAAAAGTTAAAAGAGCACAGATGTTACAAAATATCATTGCTTTTCGACATTATGTTATGAGACTAAGGTTCAAATTATGGTGACAAGCCCTAGGTTCTTTCATCCCTCTTTTCCTTATTTTACCTGCGAGTATGTGCTAAGCTGCGCCGCGTTGACCACCATGGCTCGCCCAACGGTGGGTGTTGCCCCACGCCATAGTTTCAGCACTCCTTCCTCTCTCACTATCCTGGAACACACAGAATACCATGCGCGTATTTAGCTCCATGCCCACCCCGGAATGGTCTAGTGGTCTTCGAAGATAACTTTTAAATAACAACTAATCCGTAAACGAACTGACGCTGACATAGTCGCTGAAGTAGCAATCAAGCAAGGTTCTGGAGTGGAGGCCGCGAACCGGTAAACGCAGCGTGGGACGTCCACTAACAAGGTGGACCGACGATATCATAAAGGTAGCAGGAAGGTGCTGGACGTAGGCCGCTACCAATCGATCAACATGCAAATCATTGAAAGAAAGAAAGAAAGAAAGATACATTTATTACAGTGGACATCACACAAATACAGGCAATTACATAGACATGACAGTGGCACATAATAATAAAAGAAGAAAAAATAAAAACAAGAGTAAACTGAGCAGTGCCACCCATTCACCAACAAGATGCCCACTGCAACGGGACCCCACTCAGCATATGCCGTGGCCCACGGTGACGAAGGCCACGGCGCTGGTTTTCAGTGTGCCCCATGCCGAGTGAGGGTCACGGACCATTGGTAAAATAAAAAATAAATAAAAATAAAAAAGCTGCATAAAATTGTCTAGATAAACATACATAAATAGTAATATTAGTGCACAGATAAATACAAAAGGCGGGAAATCGGTAAGGATGATATGACTACGTTTATTAAGAATACTAATGAAAAGAATACTAATAAAAAGATAAAACTGTTTGTATAGGTGTGTGTGTAGTAATTGTGTTAATGTGTAATATTCGTAAAGAGTGACATTGTTACGCGTTGTTGAGTGTCTCGACGCCCGCAAAACCGGTTTGTGCAATCGAATGATTGATTGCGCGCGATTCGACAATTTAGTTCATCCCATATTGTTCCGAGCGTTACACGCGCACCTACAAACAAAAAATAAANAATACTAATGAAAAGAATACTAATAAAAAGATAAAACTGTTTGTATAGGTGTGTGTGTAGTAATTGTGTTAATGTGTAATATTCGTAAAGAGTGACATTGTTACGCGTTGTTGAGTGTCTCGACGCCATTGGGGAGGCCTATGTTCAGCAGTGGACGTCCTATGGCTGAAATGATGAACAACTAATCCTGGGGGCACTCAGGGCACGACATCATGTGCTTCATCGACTGGGGAACAAAACCGCACCCGCACCCCATGTTTGAGCCATCCAAGAATCCCCACCTGAACAGATTGTCCGTACTACGGCCGATCTGCGTCTGAAGTCTATTCAAAGACTTCCAGGTAAGCCAGGGGAGCTCATGATGTCGTGCCCTGAGTGCCCGAGCAACTGCACGCAGGATTTTATGAATGCTGCTGACAACGCCACTCTTGTAGCGGAGTTTTGGGCTGACACTGTGTAGGTTTGTTGTCGACACGATAAGAAGAAGAAGAATCCTGTGGGACTCGTTCCTCCTCTTTTCAGCCATGGCAAGTCAGGGGCTAGCCCGTGGAAACTTACTAGGTACGCCAAGGAATACCATGAAACTTCGTGATACCCTGAATTTTGGAGGTTGAGTTCGTAACACGCGTATTTTAGTTAAAACGGATGTTGTAGGTAACAAGGGTAAAGGTGAATCTGATAAAAAACGCGGGTTTTTGTTGTTAACAACAAACATAGTGTTTCCTTCATCCTTTTTTTGTAAAGGTATAAAATATGTAATTATGTCAAGTACTAAATATTTTAACTAGCAACGTAACATGTTTTGTTTAGTTCATGTTTACTTACATTATGTACTTTTACTTCATCTATATAAATTATTAGATTTTAACCTATTACTTGAAATATTAACTAGGTGGACCGACGATCTGGTAAAGGTCGCGGGAAGAGCCTGGATGCGGGCAGCGCAGGACCGTTCATTGTGGAAAACCTTGGGGGAGGCCTTTGTCCAGCAGTGGACGTCATTTGGCTGAAAAGAAGAAGAAGAAAGACTTGAAATATTATATTTAATACTAATGTCTAAAGCCCGGTCCGTGAGCACGTAGAATTTTGTCCAATGACCCCAAGGATGGGTAGTTGGGGTCATTGGACAAAATTCTACGTGCTCACGGACCAGACTATAACTAAACTAAGTCATAACGAAAGGTTAATTGCAAAATTATTGATCTACAGCTTGACCGCTATTAAAAAACCAATGGAGGTCAAGTTTGTCTCAGGGGAAAGTAAACTATCATTGGACCCGCAACGAAATTAATCAGAAGAACATAGGTGTAGTTGATCGACTGCAAGTATTCACAAGTATTTTAGAGAAGACGGGGTTTCGATCTAGGCCAGTTTGGCCTTAAATGAAACTCAACCAGTGAAGGTTGAGTCTATCATAGGGGATAACTAACTGTTTTGAGTATTTTGGAACCCGCAATTAGAATATCCGAGAAGAAAAAAAAAGGAAGACAGCCGGTGACTGTAGTACTCGTAAAGGTACAGCAAGGTTCTGAAGTAGTGTAGGTCGTCCACCCACGAGGTGGACTGACGAACTCATAAAGGCAGCAGGCAGGGAGGATGGATGGATGCAGGCAGCTACCAACCGGTCATTATGGAAACCATTGGGGGAGGCCTATGTTCAGCAGTAGACGTCCTATAGCTGAAATGCTGAAAGGTAGCACACATAGGTAGTTCTCATTAGAAGGAGGGCAGTATTGCCTTATCCAATAAGTGCGTCGGCGACGTTCTTGTAATTCCTTCTCTGTTGAGCAGGCAGCCAGTTCATTCTTTTCAGCCAAATGACGTCCACTGCTGGACAAAGGCCTCCCCCAACGATTTCGGCAACGACCGGTCCTGCGCTGCCCGTATCCAGGTACTTCCTGCAACCTTCACCAGATCGTCGGTCCACCTAGTGGGGGCCTGTCTACACTATGTCTTCTGGCCCGTGGGTGCCACTCGAGTACTTTTCTGCCCCAGTGATCATCATCATCAGTTCTACCACAGAATAATAATAAGTACTAAGTACGTACAGAAGTTTTAAGCGAAGGTATTTAAAAAAATGTATGCTCAATGTCATTAACAATATGGTTTAGTTTAGCCTGTCTCAAGAGTCAAGCACCATTTTGTTGACAAACGTCAGTGATCGGCACTGCGCCGAAGCTATAGGGCTGACTTCGGTAAAATGATGTGACGTGAGGTGCCAAACTGCGGAAAATGGCGGAGGAAATACATGATTTAGCATGAATTATCATGAATAATATTAACTACTTATTTACCTCTCAGTGTCTTGAGGCAACTTAAATAAGTACATTCTGTGTTTTTATTATTATTTAGGCAGTTAAATACTAAACAGTATTTAGTATACCATTTTCTTTATTTTCTTCCATCATACACAAAATACGCGTGTGTTAGAATATATA